GGTCCACAATTGAATGTTTGCCTTGATTTAATACTGCTGAGACAAACGAAGTTTTTATTATCATTATCGAAAGAAAGCAATAGAACGAGGCTATTCAGCCTTGGTCACGATCGGTCGGACAAAGCTTTGAAATGTTAAAACGTTTTGGTCACTGTAGCTCCCTACTCTAACTAATCACCCAACCCAGTTATATCGCATCGCAAAGCCATCATGTGTACCAATCTGAAAGGCAGTGCTGCCCTTATTCCAATACTAAAGGTGACTTCTAGGTATACGCAGCTTCGCCTACCCTAAACCAAACTATCTCGTGCGTTCTTGACTTTACCAGAGCGTCCTTCGTGATTATGTAATTGTTATTTGGATCAAGATCACGAGCCCCGCTACATCTTCCGCGGTCTGCAGTGGCTCCGGTAGTCCTGCAATGAACAGTTTGCAGCTCACTTTCTTGAGTCACGATTTGTTACAGTGCAGTTGGAAAAACGCCGCACCGCCCTGCTCGTAAATATGTAGTGACATCACTCGACCTCAACCCGACTCACTTAAACTGAATTATTGAATTGGTTGTGACGCCGTACTCGATATTATCGAATTTAATTGTTAAAATTAGTTATTACAGTAAGGGTGGTGAATGACGTTCGTAAACACTTATATTTTAGAATTGTCATGGCCTGAAGTCCGGTGCATTCGATTATGTAGCGATGCAACGGTGTTCGAATCCCGCAGGCGGATACCAATTTTTCTAATGAAATATGTACTTAACAATTGTTCACGATTAACTTCCACGGTGAAGGAATAAATAACATCGTGCAATAAAAATCAAAAGTGGGTGGACGTCTTGGGACTCCGCACGGGTAGGTACCACCACCCTGCCTATTTCTGCCGTGAAGCAGTAATGCGTTTCGGTTTGAAGGGTGGGGTAGCTGTTGTAACTATACTTGAGACCTTATATCTCAAGGTGGGTGGCGCATTTACGTTGTAGATGTCTATGGGCTCCGCTAACCACTTAACAACACCAGGTGAGCAGTGAGCTCGTCGTCCATCTAAGCAATAAAAACAAAAAACAAACCATTTTTTACGTTTGGTCGATAACCATTCGATTTATAATTTCAATGTTTAAAAATTCTTAATTACATCGATACGTTTTCTCATATTTTATAATTACAAAAACACATTTTATAAAAAAAAATTAAAGCACATCGGCTTTTACACCGCTTTTAGTAGTTTAATAATCGCATTTATCATTAAACACAATTATATAATGAATTGTGTAAAACCTTTTTTGCGGACTTTAATACGGGATCCAGGAATTTGTATGTTTTAACAAGTATTTATTTATACTAGAGGTCCCGCAGTAGTCGAAATTCGACTATAATTAATTGGAATTGTAAGTTTGTACACTATTATGATTGTATTTTATACTTCTATAATCACAAATCTCGCCAAGACTACACTATAAAAAATATTAACAAAGACAAACCATATTCTATTCTCAATTTGACAACAGACGTCAAGAACAAAAGTTTGACAATAAATAGTATGCATGCGTGTGTGCGTCAAATACACGGTATGTAGTGTGTGTAATGTTTTCTTTATTGATTTAATGTGTCTTTTATGCATTATTTTAAAAAAATATTGGCGTTGTGCACTTCTTCTCTATACTCTCTATAAGTGTGGAAAATTTCATACTGCGCGCGATTTTCGTAAAAAGGAATACAAAGTTTTTGCTTCACGTATTAATATATAGATTAAAGAAGTCGTGTCTCACACAAAGCTATGGGGCCCACTGTCCGGACTATACACGCGAGAGCAAAAAAGTATTTTGTAAGGTGCTGATTAAGCGCCATTTGTGCTACTACGATAGAGAAATAACAGTATGTACGACGTGGCCTAAAAGATAAGGCACCCGGTATACTCATATCGATTAACGCGACCGTGCCGGTGTTCAAATTCCGCTGGCAGTTACAATTTTTTTTAACAAAATACGTTTACAAATAATTTTGATGTTGAAGGAATAATACAAAATTAAACCCACAGAAATTATAATTTAGTTTTCGTAATTACTATACAATTGAGACACGAGTCTTGAGGCGAGCGGCGGCATTCATTTTGTTTTCTCATGGACTACGGTAACCACTTACACCAAATGGTCAAGTCTCATCAAAAATGTCCACGTTTCCATTGAGTTGATGACTGTAATAGCGTAACACTGTATATGTATATATGTATACTTAATATTATAAAGCTGAAGAGTTTGTTTGTTTGAACGCGCTAATCTCAGATAGCCGATTTATTGAGGAAGGCTATAGTCTATAGGTATAACATCACGCTAAGATAAGAGCACCAATGAAGAATGTTTCAAAATCGGGGTTTAAACAGATCCTTAGCATTCTATAATTAAAAAATATTTTCTTTCTACGTAAATGAAGTGGGAGGTAAAATTTAGCGTTATGCCAAAGTAACTATTCCACGCGGACGGAGTCGCGGGCAAAAGGTAGTGTATGTGTATAGGCTATCCAAAAAGATGACACGCGTTTCTTTAATTTCAATAAGTCTTGACCAAAAAAAACAGCCATCGTCGTATATAAGAGCCTCTGACGTCATCGCGTTTCGACCCCTGACATGGACCGAGACAATCACGTGCCGCACGTAACAGGATCCCCGAAATTCACACCGCACGGGAGAGTTCGACAACCCGGGGGTGAGTCACCGGAATGTTCCACAATTCGGGAATCCAATATACAGGCTAATGTAGGGTAGTCAACCCGGAAACGAATATCGGTTTATTTGAATTTAGACCCCTTAAGCTGTTAGAAGCTGTATCGACGATCGTCCTGTTTAACTGAGTGGTTTTCGTTTACTTTAGTCAATGGATTGTACTGCAAGACTTGGTGTTTTTTTTTATAATAAATAATGGTTTTTTATTTATTTATTGCATTGATGGATGGACGAGCTCACAGCCCATCTGGTGTTAAGTGGTTACTGGAGCCCATAGACATCTACAACGTAAATGCGCCACTCACCTCGAGATATAAGTTCTAAGGTCTCAGTATAGTTACAACGGCTACCCCCACCCTACGAACCGAAACGCATTACTGCTTCACGGCGGAAATAGGCGGAGTGGTGGTACCTACCCGTGCGGACTCCCAAGAGGTCCTACCACCAGTGATTACGCAAATTATAATTTTTGCGGGTTTGATTTTTATTACACGATGTTATTCCTTCACCGTGGAAGTCAATCGTGAACATTTGTTGAGTACGTTCATTAGAAAAATTGGTACCCGCCTGCGGGATTCGAACACCGGTGCATCCGCTACATACGAATGCACCGGACGTCTTATCCTTTAGGCCACGACGACTTCTATACACACATGGTCACATATTGTCTTTATTTGAGCTTCAGTTTAACTAATATATATCTAAATTAACACCAAATCGTAATGAATGTAAAAAAATATTACAGTTTTCACTGAATTGAGATTTCTCTCAGATTTCTTAAATGAATTTTCATTGAAATCTCAATCTCAAATGTTGTATAACTTATCTATTATTATTCATTTAGGACCTCATTTAATGAAGATATTTTTACTAAGACTTTAATTTAGCCGTGATTAAAAGTAAGCTCACGCGTAGAACGGTGTTACCGTACAAATCCACCGTGTAACAACTGATTTGTCGCACAACAATGAGCAATATACTGAAGGACATAATCACATTATTTGATATAATCCAGTCATCTCATTTTTGTTTTGATTGATCGTAGGCAAGTCTGCCTTTGATATGAAAATAAAAAACCCAATAGCTAACCACGGTTCAGTTGGAAGTCCCCAAAATCTTTGTCTTATCCTTGCATGTTTCCAATGTCCAAACGATTCTCAATCAGTGCGTACAGATTAAATTGTTCCGTTACGACTGGTCGAACGGGCAAAACGAGTTCCTCGGCACTAGTTCGCCTCTATTGGGCACATCCTGACGCCGCGCCGCTTGCCCGGCTCACATTAGAACGCCCACATCAACAAAACGCACGAAATTTGTACGTCCCTATTACGTTATGATTTGATTCTTGCCTTGATTGGAATTAATCTATGCGGGTCAAAGTTGAAGCTACAATTTTTTTAGATATCAGATTTTATCATTCTTAACGTTATAGTGTAGGAAGCTATATAAATACGGGCTTACGATTACTACTTTCGAGAAAATAATTCCTGATAACAATATTGTTGCCAAAACAGAAATTGAAGTAGGTAGTAGACAGTAAAAGTTTTATAACGATAATGTAGTGTTTTTTTTTTTCAAAAAAAAAAATTACCTTTGTGAAGTTCAAAGATCATAGAATTATTCGTGATACTAATCTGTGTATATCGATTTATAAACATACGAATAGTTGGTGTAGGAAAAAGGGGGCTTGCGAAGCGGCAATAAATGGTCACCACCATCTTAAACTATGTGGTATTTTCTGTGGCAATCAAGATGCATGAGAACTTTATCGCGATGCGTGTTCGTTAACTACGTTAATTTCCCTTAGCTTATTTAGAAATTCGCTATATTTAAACGTTCATATGAAAGACATGAATAATGCATAAATAGACAAATTTGAGCACGTCGCATGACTTCGAAGGCAGATGAGCTTAAGGCCTATGACAGGTCAGGCCAGGAGTTATCGGCGCTAATGGCCATCTAGAATCTTAGAGATACAACCGAGGCCCTTTATTTACAAACCCCGCTTGAAGAAGAACACGTCAGCACTAAGGGAACAAAGTACTATAGGTTTAAAAATTAGTTTATAAATGGTAAAAATGATTGCGGTAAGAAGACTATTGAAGTTGGTGCAATGCTAAGAAAGATGATATGTGTTTACATCATACATATAATTTCTCAGAACGCTGAGTTTGTGTTTTTATATATCTCAATTTCATGATGACAAAAGAATCATAACTTTCATTGTCTGTGTGTGTGTTTGTGTCCGCACATTTGATGTATTAATTTATTATTTGAACTTGCAGCCATTCCCCCTGAAATCAAGGAGGGTCCCATGAACCTGACCAACGTGGACGGCTCCGAGGCTGTGCTCAAGTGCAGAGTCTTTGGAGCACCGAAACCTATCGTCAAATGGATGAAGGACAACGTCGACGTCACAGGAGGGAAGTAAGTAATCTTCGCACGCGTTTGCAGAGGAGAAACGCGACGCGTGATCAGGGCGCTTCCGACCCGCCACTATGCAGTAGTGAAATAATAAGGTGTTTGAAGAATACCACTTTTTACTGGTGGTAGGACCTCTTGTGAGTCCGCGCGGGTAGGTACCACCGCCCTGCCTATTTCTGCCGTGAAGCAGTAATGCGTTTCGGTTTGAAGGGTGGGGCAGCCGCTGTAACTATACTTGATACCTTAGAACTTATATCTCAAGGTGGGTCTCGCATTTACGTCGTAGATGTCTATGGGCTCCAGTAACGACTTAACACCAGGTGGGCTGTGAGCTCGTCCACCCATCTAAGTAATAAAGAAAATATATTTCGTCACTTACCTTACGTAATGAGATCGGTGTCTTTGTTATTTTATTGTGTAACAGAAAATGTTTATCAACAAAACCGAACATTTGCAACTAAATCAGGGCTTGATTTGAATAGTATCAAATCAATAATACATCCTTAAATATTGTCACTCGATTTAAATTCTATAATAATTTTCGACCCGTTTTCCCTTTAAAGAGTTTAATTCGTATCTGACCTTTACCGAGACCTTTCCCGGCTTTTATATTTAGTCGTCATTCTGTTACTTCGCCGGAGTGTTGTGGGTCATTTTGATTGAAACGAATTTTGTATTGGGCGCTCCATTGTCACACTTGTGAGACAAAGAAAACATGTCGCTGCCAGAGCATTCATAATGTTGCATTGTCCTATATTTACTTTATAATGAACTTGACATTAGTAAGTTTCATTGCTCACAGTTATACTGATAGTCCCGTATTGACATGGTTAATAGCGATGGTTTCGTTTAATACCAAGATAACAATTTATTTTACTGCATTACTCTTAATTTACTATGCTAAAATCAATGCTGACATATAAAGAATTATGTTGATGAGGACTCTGGAGAAACTCAATTGAATGTCGTCCTCCGCAATTATAGATTACTAGCGACCCGCCCTCGTTTCGCTTCGAAACTGTAATTTATTATTGATTTCTCCACTATTTAATGGGCATATAAACCTTCCTCTTCAATTTCTCTATCTATTAAAAAAAACAGCATCAAAATCCGTTGCGTAGTTTTAAAGATTTAAGCATACATAGGGACAGAGAAAGCGACTTTGTTTTATACTATGTAGTGATAGCAAATTCCCTGCGAGCTAGCGACTCCCAGCCACTAGAAATAAGTTCACTCATTAATTAGAACCCCAGTTTGTTAATTTAAACATAATTTCCAACGAACAGATACAACATAACGGCGGAGGGCGACCTCGTGATCCGCGACGTGTCGTTCACTGACGTGGGCACGTACCAGTGCTACGCCAAGAACAAGTTCGGCGAGACCTCCGCCTACGGATCGCTGGTGGTCAAGAGTAAGGACACGTGCCCTCCAATTGAACCTGCACCATACACTTGTAGTCGCGGCCCGCTCACACACGGTCGAGGAACGAATATTGTCGACAAGTGCTATTAGTGATGAATTAGCTAATAAGTAGCCAACCACTATCGAACACCGCCGCGGACCCGGGCCTTCGAAGTGTTATTCAAGAATTCTGGACTCTTGTAGTAACTTTGTTAAACACTAATTCAGTATCCTCACATTTATTGTCTGTTGATATTTCATGTAAAGTGTTCACTGTTAAGAAATACTCTTAAATAACACCACCCAAACTGATTTGAATTGTGTTCTCGACGTGGCGTCAGGTGTCCGCCCCCGCGCCCGCTCGCCGCCCACTGCGACCACGGAGCACTTAGTAACGGTTGCATGCTTGGACCGCAGAGCACACGGTGATCACGGACAAGCCGGAGCACTACGAGGTGGCGGCGGGCTCGTCGGCCACGTTCCGCTGCAACGCCAACGCCGACGACTCGCTGCCGCTGCAAATCATCTGGCTCAACGACGGCCAGCAGATCGACTTCGAGAGCCAGCCGCGCTTCCGCATGACCAACGACTACTCGCTGCTCATCTCCGACACCAGCGAGCTCGACTCCGGCCAGTACACCTGCATCGCCAGGACGCCCGTCGACGAGGCGCGCGCCCAGGCCACGCTCACCGTCCAAGGTTCGACCCGCCCTAACTACAGATAGAAACGAAAGAACTTGTCTTAGCTTAGGGAATACTTAGCGCCGTTCGGATTTGATACTCGATGATATGCAAAAACGGCTTTAATAATCGGTTCTTCAAACCGGGACTAAATCGTGTGTGCAGACAAGCCGAACCCGCCGGTGCTGACGGGCGCGGAGTGCGGCGCGCGCACGGCCACGGTGCGGTGGCGGGCGGCGGGCGACAACCGCGCGCCCATCCTGCGCTACTCGCTGCACTACAACACCAGCTTCACGCCGCACGTGTGGGCCGTCGCCGCCGCCGCCGTGCCGCCAGTCGACTCCGCCTGGACCGCCGCGCTCAGCCCCTGGGCCAACTACACCTTCCGGTCAGTCCCGCCGCCGCCACCACCACCACCACCACACACCTACATAATATACACATAGCTAAACATTACAACGTTCTACCGACAGCGTGGTGGCGCACAACAAGATCGGCCCGTCGGCGCCCTCGGGCCACTCCGACGTGTGCACCACGCAGCCCGACGTGCCCTACAAGAACCCCGACAACGTGAAGGGCGAGGGCACCGACCCCACCAACATGCTCATATCGTGGACGGTAACGCTCTCCCACCACACACAGTACATTGCTAACGCGACAATGCAGATTGTCGTAAGAGTGGACCTGCGCCAATCTGTTTCAACCGTCTCATTATATCCGTCAGAAAATGCCTCAAATCGAACACAACGGCCCCGGGTTCTACTATCTGGTGTCGTGGCGCCGGAACATCACGGGACAACCCTGGGAAGAGCACCAGGTCCGGGACTGGCAGCAAACCGAACACCTGGTGACCAACACCCCCACCTTCCAGCCCTACAAGATCAAGGTGCGTATGCTGCTTGCACAACATATATAGTAATCGGCAAACTTCTTGAGCAAATGACCTTGACTGCGCAGAACCGAATTTTAGATCACTTTGGTGGTGAGGGTGAGGCGCGACGGCAGGGGAAATCGTATTGAGCGCGTTATTGGTAGATCAGTCGAACCTTGCGTCCCGCACCGCGCCCTCGTTCCGCTTGCTCCCAAAAGTACGCTTGCGTACAGTGGAAAGTCTATCGTTATTAATCGTTAAGTTATTTGTTATAATTGCTTGTGGACTTTGTTGCCATTGCTATTTGTTGAGTGTTTGTTGATTTTTTATAAAACATACACTATGCCGTGACAAACTGGTGTAGTACTTAAAAGAAAGGGTAGAAAATTTGTGTACGACGTATATTGCTTCATTATAAAACAGGGGAAGAATGATATGGAAAAATTAAAACAGACTTCGGAAGCAACAAAAACATCAGTGAGTACTGTTAGGTGCATTATTAACGAAGCTAAAGGCTCTGGCTTGCTCGCCGTGTTTCGGACTCCGGGTAAGAAAAGATCAGGGAAGAAGAAAGTTACCGGAATGGATAGTTTCGTTCAATCTGTAATAAAAAGATGTAATCATAATAACTACATAACAAGCAGCGAAACTCCGTACCGTAGAAAGGCTTCGAAAAATTTAAAGAAGATATAAATTTTAATGGCTCGGAATGAAGCTTACGACGAATTATGAAAGAGCTAGGCTTCAGATGGAAAAAAAGAACAGAAAATAATCGGAAGCTGGTAAATGAAAAAAGTAACATTCGATTACTACGAATCGAATATCTTCAAAAAATAATTAATTATAGACAAAAAAGAAGACCGAATCGACCGAGTTGTAAACTACGCCGATGAGCCCTATGTCGACTCATCACGATGATAGCGACTCGGGTGATGAAAACAGTGATGATGATGATGGTCAAGATTATGATAACGAAAAAAAAATTACAAATACCAGCTTCGCTTCAACTGAACCAAGACCTGGCAACAGCTCTAGTTTTGACTTAATAGAAGGAATATCTATTTTACCCCAAGATTAAATTATTACAATTATTAACCTATATGTTTTGTTGATGTTCTAATAAATATATAAATAAATACATATGTTGATTTTAATAATTTAATAGCATTATGACGCAGAGTAAGTAATGTTTTTGCACGTGAGTGTACTATGCGCAAACTTACCCCCACTACGTCAACAAATGCTCAAGAAGTTTGCCGGTTATTATACTTAGTTTTAATCTGTTTTTTTTTTTTAAATTAAGCTTTAAATAAATTTTTTCGAAATCTATAGGGGTCAATGTTTACTTGCACATGGAGCTTTTTAAAATTCGTAATCTAAAACGAAATTCAATCTTTTAACCACATCTAGACAACAATACAAAAACTATTCAAAGTCCCACGTCGGTTTGTGGCGGCGGGTACTGTCGACATACTCACACTTTTCTATACATAACTTATGTTTTGTTGCTACACAATGATTTAAAAGCATCTGTATAATTTGTAGGTGACAGCGGTGAACTTCAAAGGAACATCGAACGTGACTCCCATTGAAGTGATCGGCTGGTCCGGAGAGGACCGACCCACTCAGGCTCCGGGCAACCTCAGCCTGTCCCAGGTGACTTCTGGCACCAGCGCCGTGCTCAGCTGGACTCCCGTGGCGCCAGAGTCGCTGCGGGGGCACTTCAAAGGATACAAAATCCAGACCTGGACCGACGCCGAGGAGGACCGACTCAAGGAGATCTTTGTGGAGTCTGACGCGACCAGCGCCCTCGTCAACAAGTTCAAGCCCTTCAAGAAGAACAACGTGCGCATCCTCGCCTACAACGGCCGCTTCAACGGGCCCGCCAGCGACACCCTCAGCTTCGTCACCCCCGAGGGACAGCCCTCCACCGTTCGCTCCTTCGAGGCCTACCCTATCGGCTCCTCCGCCATGCTGCTCAAGTGGGAGAAGCCCATGGAGGAGAACGGCGTCCTCACCGGCTACAAGATCTACTACAGCAAGGTGATCGCCACGGCCGTGGAGACTCCGAAGGAGCGCAAGAAGGAGATCGACCCCAAGTTCGACCGCGCCAAGCTCGCCGGCCTCGAGCCCAACACCAAGTACAGGATCGAGATCCGCGCCAAGACCAAGGCCGGCGAGGGCAAGGGCTACTACGTGGAGCAGTCCACCAACAACGTGCTCACCGCGCAGCCGGACGTGCCCGCCTTCGAGACCGAGACGCTGCCCGGGAAGGAGGGCACGGCCCACGTCATAGTCCGCTGGATCCCCTCGCTCGACGGACACGCGGGGACGCACTTCGTGGCCTGGTACCGGCTCAAGGGGCACCCCGACTGGCAGCGGACCAACGACATCACCGAGGACGACTTCGTGATCCTGACGGGGCTGGAGCCCGGCCAGCTGTACGAGGTCAAGGTCACGGTGCACGACGGCCACTACTTCAGCACCAGCGAGCTGCGGACGGTCGACACCTCCATAGGTGAGTTGCATTCGGCGCACGACGCACAAAAGGCGTTTTATCGAAATAGTCATATTCTTATTAATTAATCTCTCCACGCTCAAAGAAAACAATTAACAGATACGTGATTTAAAAATTGGAAAATCTATATATATATAAAAATGAATTGCCGTTCATTAGTCTCGCTAAAAGTCGAGAACGGCCGGACCTATTTGGCTAATTTTGCACTTTAATGATTTTTGGAAGTCCAGAGAAGGTTTAAAAGGTAGATAAATATCAAAAAGCTCGGAATTAAATAAAAATAACAATTTTGTTTTTACTTTGATGTATCCTCCGTCGAACGGATTCCTTTTGTTTGTTTTAAGTTTATTTTATACAAAAGTTTAGATCTTATTTATCGATTGAGACACTACGAAGTCTGCCGGGTCAGCTATTAAAATCTAAAATACATAGTGCGTTTCGCTTGTGTGCCAAGTAGACGGANTATCAAAAACCTCGGAATTAAATAAAAATAACAATTTTGTTTTTACTTTGATGTATCCTCCGTCGAACGGATTCCTTTTGTTTGTTTTAAGTTTATTTTATACAAAAGTTTAGATCTTATTTATCGATTGAGACACTACGAAGTCTGCCGGGTCAGCTATTAAAATCTAAAATACATAGTGCGTTTCGCTTGTGTGCCAAGTAGACGGACCGATAGTGAAGCCGGACGAGAAGATCGCGACCGCGGGCTGGTTCATCGGCGTGATGCTGGCGCTGGCCTTCCTGCTGCTGCTGCTGGTGCTGGTGTGCGTGCTGCGCAGGAACCGCGGCGGCAAGTACGACGTGCACGACCGCGAGCTGGCGCACGGCCGCAGGGACTACCCCGACGCCGGCTTCCACGAGTACACGCACCCGTACGTACCCGCCCGCCTCTACCCGCCTCTACCCGCCCGCAGACCTAGCCGTGTCAGTTTAAGGGATTTTATGACCTGGTTACTAAGACCTTTAAGTCATGTCTTATTTTTATGAAAAATGATAATATGGAGTGAAATGAATATTATTAATTTGAGATATTAATCAACTGGGATAAAATTAAATGAAAAAATATGAGATGAAATATAATCTCAGTAATATGGTGGTCATTTACTAAGATTTTTTCAGTGGACTTTTTGGAGAATCTCGCGAAGTTACGTTCAGCTTTCGGCTTTGTTTCAATTTCCCACATTTGTTTGTGCACTTTCACAGATACTAAACAGTTAATAAACCACCGTTATTACACATTTAAACCTGAAGAAACACTAAATCGACAAAATAAAACAAATCACACAACTTCACTCCTCGCGTTCCCGCCAAAAAGCCCACGTAGCCGTGTCCTTGCGAGTCCTTCCGCAGTGCTATATACAGTATTGTTGCTCTACTCAGATTGGACAACAAGTCTCGGCATTCGATGAGCAGCGGCACCAAGCCGGGGCCCGAGAGCGACACGGACTCGATGGCGGAGTACGGCGACGGAGAGACGGGTAAGCCACGACTGCGATCTATTTTCTAAGCATTCGATGTCCATGTTCATTGGTTTTGGATTTACTTGTGCTAGTGCTGGTGCTAGTACAACTTCAGTATTCATATTTAAATAAAATATTGTTAATGATTTAACTTTATTTACAACTACAAAAAAAAGATGACAGTTGCTAAGTTTGTTTCGCTAAGGCGCTTGCTATGTTTGTGTTTTGTTTTTTGTTTTTTAAACGACATTTTTAAGCATGTTCTGTTAGTGTCGGTCACGTCAGTGTGTCCCGGCCATAGTGGTCTTGTGTTGTGTGGCTGTACGCATGTGTGCTTGCAGCCGGCATGAACGAGGACGGCTCCTTCATCGGACAGTACGGCCGGAAACGACGTCCGCCAACATCCGGCCAGCCGGACTCAGCCTCGCAAGCATTTGCAACGCTCGTTTAAAAATCATTTCCCCAGATCCATCATTAGCCTAGCCTGTATATTCCTTAAAACCTTTGCCTGATCGACTCTAAAAATAATTACAAAAAAAAAATTAATTCAAATTTCGTACGTATCTAATGACTTACAAATTGGATCACGTTATGAGTTCTGATCAGTGTTGTTAATATAACAATCCCGACTCCTGCCATAATTGGTTTAATTAGTAACTTGAGTTGTGAATATTTTTTTTTATATTTTACATGATTATATTAGCGTTTATTGTTAAAAAGAACGGGCGTTCATAATCTTTATTGTACTATTTCAAAAATAGTTTTCAAATAAAGATATAAAATTATCGCACGTTCCATATGTTAAGATTTATTTTCATTTTGATTTTTCGCTGGGACATGTCGTTGGCGCCACAATCAGAATTTGAAAGTTCTTCATGAACAATTAGTATACATATTTATTCAGGGTAATTATGTTATTTTTAACAGATTAATTTACAAATTTATGTTTATTAATATTTAAGTACTCAGAATGCTATATATGTTTTAAAAAAAAAAAGTATATTAAAGCATGTCCCGCGCGTCAGGAGAGTGCAGTAAATATCATATGAAAGGTGATAATATGGAGTAAATCCTGTTTATCGTGTTTTTATTTTTTATTTTTATAAAGTACACAATAAGTCTTAGGGTTCTTAGAGTAGGTTCGTTTTACGCACGTGATTGTGTTTGGCAGCGAGTGTTGTATACTGTTGTTGTTCCGTCCCTCTTCCTCTTCCTCTCCCTCTCCCTTTCCCTCCACTGTCATTCGACGCACGAGCGACGTTCTTGGTTTTGTTTTTTTTTGTTTTTGAGGTATGTTTTTTTTGCTTTATTTTGCTTTTTTCATCTGCTTTTAATTTGTGTTGTCATAAATATTATTTTTATGTATTATTTAAAAAAAAAATTAATTGAAGACTTAGAAGCGGTAGGCCCTTGGGGATGATGTTGAGTAATGGTAACCGCTCATCATCAGACGGGCCGTACGCTCGTCTGCAGCAGTAATATAAAAAATACGCGAGGTCCAAGTATCAATAGTATCGTACCACAAGTGGCGCCCAGCTTGTACTACTATCCATGTCGGTCCCGGCCCCTTGCCCCTGGGGGCAGACTGAGGCGCAGCACTTAAAGCCATTAACAGGAGCGTATATTGCAGGTCGGTTCACTGAGGACGGCTCGTTCATCGGGCAGTACGTGCCGGGGGCGCGCGCCCTGCCCCCCCCGCCGCCGCCCCCCGCGCCCGCCCTCGCGTCCCCCGCCTCCCCCGCCTCCTCGCAGCCCCCCACCTACGTGTAGCCGCGCGGCCCGGCGACCACATCTCGTACGACGTTTATCTCTTTTGTTTTAAATTTGACAGCTAATTAATGTAACCGAGTACTGGCACCTATTGAATTTCAGTCATTTTCGTCAACGAAAATTTAAAGAAGATACATTGAACGTTTGCTTGTTACGTTTCATTTTATAACGAAGCGAATGGCTGAACTCGACTAAAGAATTTCCTAGTTTAAGTACGTTTATTATTTTTTATGAAAATTCATTAAATTGTATCGATGCTAAATATCTAAATGTGGAATGAATCATGTAATTTTTAGTTAAAACCTTCATTGAGCTTAGGGCCGTTAAGTTAAGCTGAGTAAAGCTCGCTCTATACAGGCCCTGACCAGTGTTGGTAACAACACTAGAGTATCGATGTTTTTATCTCTATATTTGGTTGTTCGTTGAATTGGAATTCAGAAAACAATTATTTCTTTATGAGACTGATTTTAAGTAATGTGTTTGTACTGGCTCATCGGTCGTTGTGTTTCAGTTTATTTACTGTTTAGCTCTCTCTTAAGTGATTAGAGAGGGACGGCGTGCAGTATTGCGCTCCCTCCCTCCCGTAGGCGGCTCGGTTCGATATCAATTGTAATGTATGTTTAAGGCGTTAAGTAAAAGCTATTTTTGTCAAATTCTGATAAGGTTAGGGCTACAGGTCCGGTGGTCACGCCCGACCGTCGGACGGAAATACCTTTCATAAAAATGTGAAGGAAATATGGAGGGGTTGCCCTGTTTAAAAATTAAAACTAATCTTTTGAATTTTACATTTTATTCAAAGCCAAGTTGTTAAACGATGTAAAGTGAATTAAGAGAACTTTAATTAGGAATTTACATCATCAAAAAAATATTTTTCTATTGCACGGTGTGACCACCGGACGTACTCTGGTGCTTTGCGGTGGCGAAGGGAGACGCGTCTTCACGAACGGTTTTGAAAATAATTATTGTATAGTTAAAATTGCACTTTAGCCCAGATTATTACCCTCAAACACTTTCGAGACAGTCAAAGGTAATTGGAGCCTGGCCTTGGTGCCGTGAAGTCACGGCTTGCGACAGTGTTGCGGCCGTGACGTCACTGCGTCGCGGCACGCGGTATAGTTGCACTGTACGTGTTGATATTGTATTGAATCTCACATATTGTAACTTCGACTAAATCTCATGCAAGTCGCTCTCGCGTAGTTTTGTAAGTATTTTAATATAAGCTTTTTATCTCCGTAAAGTTTGTCGCTTGTTCGAAAGCACTCGTCCTCGGCGCTGGCAACACGAGGGGACACGAATTTTTAATCGCACGATTTTTTATTTTTTACTTAAGGAGATTTAATTTTGTTTGTTTGTCGACACAAATCGTATGAGGGTACACGCCAGTCGACTGGGCGTCCGCCTGTAAGGTTTCAGTCCTCGTTGTACATTCCACACGGTGTGACCATATTGTTTGTTTTTATATTTCGAAATTTCCAGTTACCCCCAGTTTCTAAATTATGTAATTTAATTTATATTTAGTAAGGCATATCCGTCGCTCCCGCAGTTAGTAGTCGACGGTCGATCCAATGAGTCGTTCGAGCACTTGTAATCTTTCAACTTCCACCCTCCCACTAACAGCTTGTCATAACTAATGTGAATGTACCCCCCATTTAACAGTAATAGTGTATCTCGATCGCTCTGTTATCTTATTATATACCTGTTTTATGAATGTATTTATTAATTATTATATTGTAATGTATGTATGCACGCGTATCTAACTGCCTATAGCGCGCTGCCCGTCTTCACGTAGACCACAAAGTTAAATGTGTTCACTATTTTAATTTTCACTATCGTTCTTCGAAGTCCAATAATAATTGAAGACTTGTTGATTCACGTGAGCTTGTTAGATGATACCGTTTTTTGATGGGATTACGAAAAACGGTCGGTTTTTATTGTACTGCGCGTTCGAAGTCAGTTCTCTTGTCTGCATTCACTAAAATAACTCGCCTTTTTATTGTAAATCTGATCTTGAATTGACAAAAGACGTTTTTGTGCGAGTACCCATTCGTGCCGGGGGCCGAACCTCCTATGAGGTCCCCGCGCCTAGGGGGCGCGCGGGGTATGTGGGACTTGACGATCTGCAAGGTGTTAGACCGCGGGCCCAAGGAATTTTAGGGCCCACCCACTAAACGACTCCCCTGCACTCTCACACCCGACGTCCGATCTCCGTCCGGGGTCAGAGTAGGGGGGTTCCCGCGGTACCCTGCATTAACTCGAGATCCCAGCAGTTCAATGTTGTGTACGTTCTGCTGTTCTTCTAGAAACGTTCGGACAGAGTTCGCTCTGATGTTAGTGGCGGCGGGAACTAGTCCGGCGCCCGCGTAGGCACCGATCAGTTTGGTCTCGCTCGTTGTTGAGCTGCAGTGTTGTTTGTCTATGGTTGTTGTGCGGATGACGGGAGCGCTTTGTTTTACAGTCACGTTGTCTCTTAGAATTAATATATTGAATTTATCTAGAGGAAAATAAGTGTCTTTGTTCCACCTGTAAGGTTGTCGACGGTCTGATGACGTCACGTCGAGTTATGGTTGACGGAAGGGCAACTACTGTTTTTAATAGTTTGATCTGTTTACTTTCCTCTGGAAACGTAAGGTCTTTGATTATGTATTATTAATGATATATTCGTATAATTTGCATGGCAAGCTAAGTTCAAAGTGTTACGTTTATTTGCGTAATTAAATTGTGTAGTTATGTAACGGGAATCAAACTTTTACTTTGAGATAGTTTTGATCGTCGCGGTGACGGAAGGTAAAGTCGCCGACTCCGCCCGTGTCAATATCAATGACAATGTCAATATGACAATATCTGTTGTTTACGTAATGACTCGATTCTGTTCTGTCCTCGTGCGGAGACTTGATTTGATTTCGTGAAGTGAATCTTAAAAAATATTTTATTAGTTTGCATTAAGTATGTAACTTGTAATTTATTGTAACTATGATAAATATTTTTTTATGTTGCATAGAAAATACAGTTTAAGAAATTTAAATAATTTGTTTTATTTCTATCTAAATTGTGATAACGGATTGGCAACACCGCTTAAGGTGAAACACTTCCCGGGTACTAAGACCAAGATAGCCTATATCATCAGCCGAGTTTCCCGCCGCGTCTTCTCAACGGGTCGCGATTCCAGAAGTAGATGCACTCGCTTGTGCTGTTGGACCTCTAAGGGCGCTTTGACAGCTCTTAGCAAACCTTCCCCACCTGGTGAACCTTCGAGTCGGCTAAGCGTTAACGCTTGATTGAACAAACATGATCCTTTTATCCTAAAAAAACCTCGTGCTGAGCGGTTATCACAGCCATTAATAACCACAATGTGATTCCCCTTAATTCTACGGTTATAAAATATTCTGAAGAAAGTGCATAAAAACCTTTCTCAAAAAATTGCAGTTTTAGCCAATTTTTTTTGCTTTGATGTGTGGACGAGCTCATAGCCCACCTGGTTTTAAGTGGTTACTGGAGTCCATAGACATGTACAAAGTAAATGCGCCACCCACCTCGAAATATAAGTTCTAAAGTCTCAGATAATTACAACGGCTGCCCCATCCTTCAAACCGAAACGCATTACTGCTTTACAGCAGAAATAGGAAGGGTGGGGGGGGGGTACCTTTCCGTGCGGACTCGCAAGAGGTCCTACCACCAGTAATTACGCAAATTATAATTTTGCGGGTTTGATTTTTATTACACGATGTTACCTAGTCAGGTCATAAATTCTGTAACATGTTTAATGTAAAATAATTGAAACAAGTTTATTCATTATGTAACCATTCATATACCAAAATGAACTTAACAAAACATAGATTCTTATGACACTAAAGTTTATTCAAAATGACCTCCGTGATTTTGAATACAGGCCTTCAATCTGCGCGGCCAGTCGTCTATCGCAGCACGNGGGTTACCTGGGATTATTGCAATTACAAAATGTATTCCGTGACCCACCTTGAGACATGAGGTCGGTTTCTCAAATGCGCATCCATACTTCAGAACATACAGCCGTTAATTAAAAGATGGCGCGTAACGGAAAAATGTGACGCGTAACCGAAAAATGTGACGGTAAATTTTTTTCCAACGCCGATAAGGAAGTTTCACTTCAAAAATGAGTAAAATTCTAAAAGTATACATTTTTATTTTTATGAACACTTCGAAATTCGAATTCAATAAACTTTTTTGTGGCCAGCATTCTAAAAGAAAAGTTTTTACTGTGTGACAATACTTATGACCTGACTCACTGTGGAAGTCAATCGTGAACATTTGTTAAGTACGTATTTCAATAGAAAAATTGGTACCCGCCTGCGGGATTCGAACACCAGTGCAACGCTAGATACGAATGCACTGGGCGTCTTATCCTTTAAGCCACGACGACTTTGGGAGTCAAGTCCTAGTCAATAGGGGAAATACTAAAATTTGGTGTAACTTAAATTGAACAATATATTTACATTGCTTCTTCATTCGTTCAAATACCTTTTACGACAACATGGGTCCCTTACTCTGAGAGCTTGTTTTTCACAGCTATGCCGGGTTTGCTATGGCCTTAAATAAATACAAACCTCCGTTTTTCGTGAAAAATATTTGCATGAGCTCCACCTTTTCAGAAGCCAAAATTACGGTCTTGTTCGCGGGCTGAACGTTGTAGTGGTACAACGCGACGAGACGTGTGGTGCAGTGCGATTTGAACACGACACAATCATGGCAATTAAGACGAGTACATTTGGCGATTTACCCGTCACGCCACAGAAGCATTACTGGTGGTAGGACCTCTTGTGAGTCCGTGCGAGTGGGTACCACCACCCTGCCTATTTCTGCCGTGAAGCAGTAATGCGTTTCGGTTTGAAGGGTGGGCCAGCCAATGTAACTATACTAACGGCCAATGTAACTAACGGCCGTCTGGTGTAGTGGTAAGTGACATGGTCACTACACAAGGGGGTCGCGGGTTCGAATCCCGCCAAGGGAAGATATTTGTATGATAAATATAAAGTCTTTTCCAGGGTTATGGATGTATATTAAATATATGTATGTGTATAATAAAAATCTTACCTGTAACACAAGTTCTTTATGAACTTAGCCTAGTAAATGTAGCGTGATTGTTAGTAAATATACTTGAGACCTTAGAACTTATATCTCAAGGTGGGTGGCGCATTTACTTTGTGGATGTCTATGGGCTCCAGTAACCACTTAACACCAGGTGGGCTGTGAGCTCGTCCAACCATCGAAGCAATAAAAAAAAAAGAAAAAAAGAAGAAGCTTCAAGCCATAACCATAATTAAGATCCTGCGAGATTTTTGACACTGAAGTCTCCGTCGCCTCGGTGTGACATAGGGCTCTCGTGCCCCCGAAACGCAGCTGCTGTACGCTACACACCGGACGAAATCTAATCTTACTCCACCAGTAAGAACGTACTTTACAATACCATTAACCTGTTAGTATGAGCCATTGTTATAATTATTACGTTTTGTTTAGACTGGGTTTGAGCTGTGACCTAAAATAGGAATGGAACAATAGGCGTATTATTGTACGGTGCTTGGTACAAACTATTGGTGGAACACATTCTCCAGTCTAGAAACTTCTTTTTAGTATTGATTTTGGTTACAACAGCGTCTTCTGTGAGTGCTGTTTTATTGACTAAAAACTTTTAAAATGCATACTTGTTTTCTTAATCCGTAAATGGGTGGACGAGCTCATGAATCACCCGATGATAAGTGGTTATCGGATCCCAGTTACATGAACAATACTCCGCCCTTCAAATCGAAACACAGAAATAAGCAGGATAGTGGTACCTACCCTAGGTACTACAAGACGACCTACCACCAGTTCCGTAGATTACCTGATCCACACGCACTGCTGTTAGACGCTTCTAGTTCTAAAGCGAGTAGCAACCAAATCTAAAGCTCAGGTCAGGTTAATTGCACTCGATATGTTCGTCGATGAGTTCCACGTGGTACTCAACGCATACCATCAACCCGGTAAGTTTCTGATGAGATCTTCTCAGCGAGTCGGGAGTCCGAACCGCAGCTGGGCTCGGGCATTAACAGTTATTAGTAAACGCTTTTTTTTTTCCTACCTAAGCTGATGGTTTAGAGAGACCGTATCAGCTTAACCTTAACTAGTAGGTTCTTTGTGGGGGCTCACGGGGCTCAAATCTGACGATGTTGCTAACACGAACCCAAGCAAGAGCCGTGCTTCGCAGAATCTACCACCGGATTGGAAACACGACCCACTCAGAAGATCCGGGGAGAAACTCAGTGGGCTAAGCAAACGTCCTTACCGTCTGAGCCCTTTCGACGACTGTTTATGGTGAAGCTTAATAGGTTTCCAGGTGGCAATTTTGGTTACCATTTCAGACGAAATTAAGATCTATCTGACCGTACATATTTCTTCATATCTAGCCTACATTAGGTCGACATCCAGAGCAGAGCCTTCAGAACAGTACCAGTGGCACAAACATACGGATTATGCCACAGACAGAAATTTGTCCATAGTTCCTGAACTTTCATACCGGATAAGCTCTACGTCCTTCTTCTGTAGAATTATGACGATGACTACTTTCAAATATGCGAAAGAAGAAGAAGTTCGAAAGAAGAAGTTCAGTTTAAATTAGTTTTTTTTTTTATTGCTCTTGTAGGCAGACGAGCATACGGCCCACCTGATGGTGAGTGGTTACCGTCGCCCATGGAGTTCAGCAATGCCAGGGGCAGAGCCAAGCCGCTGCCTACAGCTTAATACTCTCCACAAGCCTCGTTTGAAGAAGGACATGTCATAGCGCTCGGGAAACACCGTGGAGGGTAGCTCATTTCATAGCNTAAATTAGTATTTTTTTTTATTGCTCTTGTAGGCAGACGAGCATACGGCCCACCTGATGGTGAGTGGTTACCGTCGCCCATGGAGTTCAGCAATGCCAGGGGCAGAGCCAAGCCGCTGCCTACAGCTTAATACTCTCCACAAGCCTCGTTTGAAGAAGGACATGTCATAGCGCTCGGGAAACACCGTGGAGGGTAGCTCATTTCATAGCCGGATGGTACGTGTCAAAAAAGACCTCTGGAAACGCAGTGTGGATGACCGCAGTGGTTCGAGGTAGTACTGATGAACTACTCCGGTGGCGGGCGGTGTGATGGTAAAAACGAGATGATGGTATCATCTCGAATAATTCCTCAGAGCACTCCCCATGAAACATACAGTACAAAATTCAGAGGGAACCGAAATCCCTCCGCAGACCCAGAGGTTCCCACCCAGGAGAATGAATCAATCCACTGATAAATATCGGTTATAGCTATAGTTCATTTTACAAAATATTGCAGATTTACACATTACAAAGTTGCATTAATGCACCTCGTTTGCATTCAATGCACGCCTCCAATTGATTTGCGAAGTCTGAAACTTGCCAAAACTGAGTCACGAATTAAAATGATTTATGCAAGAATTCACCCTCGTCCTTCGATGTCTCATATGACGCGTTATTCCTTTTGCGTTAAAGTTCAAAACGGTCGAAGTTAAGAAACGTGAATCAAGTTAGTTCGGTTCGGGATCGGCAAAAGTTTGAATTCAAAGTACAACGCGTGGACAGTCTGCGCTCAACCGTCGACAAAGCGGCACGTTGCTAGATTCTGTACTTAAAGCAGTAGTGAGTTCGCGAGGTGTGCCGTGTTCAACAATTATGAATACTTGTGCAGTGCTCTCCGAGATTAAACATAAATAATAGGACGAACAAGTTCAGGTACTGTCTTAACGAGACTTTTGGCGGTATCGCGAACTCTCAGAGTATTTCGTGAACGATCATTGATCCCATTCCATAAAATATAGAAATCTTTTATTCACAGATATTATTCAATTAAAAAAACCAATTATAATATTGCTTAAATATTAGATCAATGTTAAAAACATTTATTTATCATATTAATAGTGCGTATGCCCCGCGGGTTGAATAATAGGAAAAGATTAAAGCGTGATAAACGTAAACATTGCTATCTTCCAAATGTAAACAAGGAACGTTATTATTAGAGGGCTGCCTTCACGGGATCGTGATGGTGTTGTGAACCGACACCATGAATTAGAAAAGCAAACTGTTCCGGAACCGACAATCAAACAAAGTATTTTATTCTAATTTAATACCCACCTTTAAAACATCGTTTAAAAGTTTTAAAGGGTCACGTTAAAAAAGGTCGTGACGATTACTCGGAATTGTTTGTCTGCATTCGATAATTCTTAATCTTAAAAGAAACCATGTTGCTGATTCCTTTTCACTTTTAAATAACATTAAAAGCTATTTTGTCAGGTGTAACGACCCGCCAAATTGTTAAGCGTAGTAATTATAACTCCAGAGCCGAAGGATCCCACAAACCGGCTCTTTATGGTTTTGCATCTTGGCAGTTATTTATTTACGACTCTAATTGATTTCGTTTCGGTTCGGTTGTAATTTGAAGTTGAATTTCGATTTGAATAATACTGTACTTCTAATTGAAATAAGAAAATTGTAGTAGTTCAAAGACATAAGTTAATATTTAAACAAATAGAATTTAACTAATCGGTTTCATTTTAAGAACTATTATGAAGACAAACCGTTTTGATAGCAAATCAATAAAATAAAAGAAAAAAATCTTACAATGAACAGCGGTCCTTAACCGCGGACGGGACGGGTGCCTGTCGTCAGGCGCACTTTATATATATTTTATTTTTTGTCTGTTACCTGTTCCCCGGACGGGTATCGGGTGCGGGTGAAGCTAACAAGTGCACTGGCCAGGGGTACTGTACCTTTGCGCGTTATCGAAATATCAATTTAAAAATGTTTCCAAATTTCGATGGGATATCAAGTTGTAATGTAAAAAGTTAAATCTCGTTTAAAGCTTGGACTTTTCTTATTTTCATCAAATGTAGTTAATTATAGACATTAGTGTTTTTATAACGTTAAGTTATTACAGACATAATGAGCAAGCAATGGACACTATACATATATTTTATATTAACAATTATTATTTTCCTGTTTGTTTGATTAGAAAACAATTTCGTTTCATACTGTATATTATATTGTTACAAGCAAGAGTTCAGAATTTAATTCATGCATTTTTGACAAAAGAGTATCTATTATTTAGAAACATATATACCTACCTCCTGTTCACTTATGAGCGCTTAAAATTACAGGCATTACAAACGAAATCTAATTTTAATTAGCGGGATAAGAGCGACGAGATTATTTGTTGTGAGACAGCCCTACTTGTTATAACAAAGTTGCGTCTCCATTACTGGGCACGGGCATTCTACCGCTGCACTTATACCTTCATTTTATATAAAAGATAGGCTGATAGATGCCTTTCGGCACACTGATTTCTGGTTTGATGACGTAACCTTCCCACCCGTGTCCTTTTAATACAAGCCGATATGATATTGCACACCCGCCGTGTATGTGTCACTATGCAAACACGGCTTAGGTAAACTGCAATGTGCTGACATGTGTACATATCTATATGTTATCTCGCAGCAGGATGTGCGAACGACCGCGGCTGCCTCCTGAACCGATCTCTCCGTTTTATTTTAATTCACAGCACTCCATTTAATACTAGACGTGTACATAGTATTTTTTTTACGTGTTTGTGTATTTCAAAATTAATCATGGCTAAAGTACTGCTGTTTTTTGTAGTTAATCGAATTATTTTATACTTTTAAGAATATATTTAAGTGTGTAAAAATGTTCTTGCGCTTAAGTTCATAAGTAAAACAGACCAGAGGTTAATGAATGTTAATTGATACAGCCTGCGGAGCGAAGTAATTCGTTTCAATTTCGATTACCTACCGCGACTAATAAGCAACGGGGTCACAATTATTTTCGTTATAACGCAAAGACATCTAATTGCCATGCCAATAAGTAATTACTAATTACGACGTGATTCGAAACGTCAAGTACATAATAATATAAATAAGGTACGATAAATAAATTAAGACTAACACACTAAGTGCAATCGACACGATTCCCACTAAAGTAATATTGTTTAACTCAAAACCTAACTATACACACTACACACACACACTAACACAACCCAAATATAGAATGGTTTGTGGTTTTGTAATGCGATATGTTATTAGTTAGTGGGATTAAATTTCTCATTTATTAATATGAACATTTACAAAATCATATTTCTTTTTTCTTCTTTTTTATTGCTGAAATGGAGAATGAGCCACGAATGAGCCACGGTTAACTCTGTTTTAAGTTACCGAAGCCCATAGGCTACGTGAATGCCGCCACCCGGTCTTCAAGCATGAAGTCTAAGCCTTAATTTTAATTTGTCTGTCCCACTATAAACTGGAAACTGGAAAGCTTTTCGGCTTTGGGGCACAAATAGACAGGTTGGGGCTCACACGTCCCCCGTCCCACGAATAGTTTTCCTATATTCATATGAAAGGTTGACTGTCTGAAATGAGCAGCTAATGATCTGGATGAGACTTGGAGTCCAGTGTACGAACAAACAAACTCTTTCTTTCGTTATAATGATCTAATAGCTTGACGTCGTAAAATTGTTTAACGGTTATCATTGTTTCTTGTAATTACATGTATTCAAAATTTTAGAATGTAGTTAAAATATGTTTGATTATAAAGCGTGACATTAATGTTATCAGAAAAAAAAACCCATCTGAGCTACGAAAACCCGCTGTGGCACGTATCGCTTATTTCATATTATTTTAATAATAACATGGGTAATATTGAAAGGCTTGATATTAAACTTGATATTGAAATTAAATTCTTGTGCTCATAAAAATCTATCATAAATATTAAAATTAGATATATTTTGTTGGTTCACTAAAAATTCAAATGCAACCTAAAAACGTGTGGTTACTGTTTTAGTTTAAAGTACAAGTATAAACTAAATTACAGCCTTAATTTGGTTTTTTGAATCTAAAATGAAACACTAGCTGTCTGCCAGTTGCTTCGCCCGCGTGGACTACTATACATTATTTATCGCGTTGGCGGTGACCGATGGTCACGCTGAGAAGAATATTATTCCTTAGGTTTGAACCTAGATTATTTGTCAAATCACTCTTGTCAGAGTGGTNGTTTAAAGTACAAGTATAAACTAAATTACAGCCTTAATTTGGTTTTTTGAATCTAAAATGAAACACTAGCTGTCTGCCAGTTGCTTCGCCCGCGTGGACTACTATACATTATTTATCGCGTTGGCGGTGACCGATGGTCACGCTGAGAAGAATATTATTCCTTAGGTTTGAACCTAGATTATTTGTCAAATCACTCTTGTCAGAGTGGTTGTAGTTGTCATTCAGTATCATTGCTGTGGGCAGACGTTTTGTGCCTGACAAGTAATCGCCAATTCTCCCTGTTTGTGGTGAGCCTGATACACTCATGTAAACAACCGTCAACTGCCGACTTGACTTGGAAATATGGGAAAAACCAGAGTTCATACAAGCCGGATCTAGAATATTTGAATAATTGAACCTATATAGCGACAGACAAATTTACTTTCGTATTTATAATAGGAGTATTAATGGATCTATGAATTTTTAATGAAACATACGAAATATTTGCGTGCTCACATGCTCTCCTAAAAGATAAAAAAGAAACTTGATCTAATAAATGTTGAATTCCGTATAGAAATATTGTACAAGGAGTACAATGTTTTACCACAAAATCAAATTAAAAACAATCAAACTAATAATGTACACAATGGTTGAGCACCCCTATAAGCCATAGAGCTGTGACTGTATTTTTTTTTTTTCGTTAACACCTTTTGTACGTATAATTTGACATCGGGAGCGAGGAAAAAAAACCGTAAAGTTTTTGACAGAAGATATTTAATGAAGTTGTTCAGTTTTTACTGGCCGTGTCCGTTTCTCACGTTGCTAGTATTGTACTATCGGGGCACGTCCCAGACGCTCCAATCAATTATGTTAAATGTGATAATTTTAGTGTTTTTTCTGTCACGTTTTCGATGGGACTCCTCGTCCGTTGTGTAGCGGTCGACAAACAGATTACACGCCGCTTATACGCGCATAATTGATGTTAGGTTAACTGCAAACGGTTCTATGAACACACTCGAGAATTTTTTTGATTACATAATCGAACCGAAAAACTGATTAGAATAACGAGCCGGACCACTGCGTGTGTACAATAAAGTTACATATTGGGATGAGCGTTCACGATGCGCAGTTAAATACGAATTGAATAATCAATTCGATTTAAATTTTAGTCTCTTTGACTTTAAGCAGCTTGTAATATGGCACGCATAACTCAATCTACGTCTATTCCAATCACAAAAAAGCAGATTTTCTCAAGGTGAAGTTAAAAGGTGGGAACCTTAGAAACTCATATGTACCTATATAATTAAATCTCACCAAATAATATTCTTTACGTAGTCTGTGCTGAGTCTCAAGTGTCTCATACTTTAAATTAATAATAGTTATGATGAATTGATGGAACTTTGATAATTTAAATGTTAAAAAATTGAGAAGGCTAACAATAAGCATTAAACGTAGAATTTTGATTAAACACTGATTAATGATAATTATCGAGTGAGACGACAAAGTTTTATTGTTTTGATGGGTGAGCGAGCTAATGGTATATCTGGTATTAAGTGGTCATCGGAGCCTATAGACATCAACAACGTAAGGCGTAGTGCAAGCGATTTACGCGGGTATTTTGAATTCGCGCGATGCTTGTGGACGCGATGTATTGGTGCCTAGTATCTCACTAACGCGCCAATGATTTCGCGCGAAACATTTCGCGGCGAATTCGCATTTCTGGACCAGGTTTAGATGTGACCACCCACTATGAGACATGAGTTATAACCCTTCTACTCATATCTGTTCATAAAATATTTATAGCTACTGATACCATGCACCCCACGCTTTTTTTTACAATAAAATCATTTTTTCTTACACTAGTTTTAATTCAAATTTATTAAAATTTATTTTCTATATTTTCTCTTTTTTAGTTGGATTTTCTATAAAAGCGTATTTTGTTAGTTTTTTTTAACTTTTATTTATTTTTCTTTTTGTAGTTAAATTTCAATTTTTCCAATTTTTTTTTTTTTTTTGAAATATTGTATTATTATCGGTCCCTAATAAGTATACCAAATTTCGAGTTAGTCCGGGGTCAAAATCATGTTCAAAGATTCCGTTACATACTAACATACATACGTCTGAAGCTAATAAAAGCGTATTAAAAACTCGCACAGTTCTAAGGCGGAGACGTCATGTCACAAGAGACACAGAACGTGTTCTAATGATAACACGTACGTAATGTTTGCTTAGCATGTGGCGATCGGCCTCGATGGGGGCGCGGCTCTGCGCAGGAGCTGTGCTGGTGATGTCGCTCACGCTCGGAGCCGGTCGCCGGGAGTTCAGGGATCCGATCAAACAGCACGACATCTCGCTGTGGATCGACGAGAGGCAGGTCCGGATGTTCAGTGGTAAGATAACATTGACATTAAAACTGACAAATATAACATTATAACTGCCATACATATTTAGGACTTTTTAGCTGAAGTAGTCATTACGTACATAGTTTCTGTTTGCTTAGTGCGAGTTTTTTAACGTTCTCGATAGCGTAAAAGTTAAGTTAAATTTGTATGGAGTTGGAACAGCGCCCCTAGCGGCAAACATAGGCATACGTTCCAACTCCATACAAATTTGAGTTAACTTTTACGCTATCGAGAACGTTAAAAAACTCGCACTAAGCACACTGATCCTGTACTGGTTGCTACCACTACTAATGCACATTTCTGTAGCAAAATAAGCACCAAATCTTGTTTGAAGGCAACGAGAATTGTAAGTTCATCTCGTATTTCAAAAAAGCGACAGCATTCACGTGCACTCGCTACTTGTAGAACCAGATGGGACTCGATAACGCCAATAATATCATCAAGAAATGAGCCTATATCCTGGTGAATATACAGCGCTTTATATTTAAATAAATATCTTTATGCTGTCGAACTTCTGTAGACTACAGATAACTGTGAGATGTCGCTGATGGAGAGGTTGAACGAAAGAAATTAATCACGAAACCATGTTCCAAATTAAAGGTATATCAATGCAAGTGTTCGCCATTGTGAACGGTCACGTCTCGCCCTACGTGCTGGACCCGAACTTTTCCAATAAGCTCCCGATCATACCTTCCGAAGTTGGCTACGTAAACTTCACGTGGAAATCGAAGAAGAGATATTACTACAATTTCGACACCTTGAAGTCATCTGATCTCAAAATATTGAAAGCACCTGTGCTGTCGATAAAGACGCAGGGGCGGGTGCCAAAAACGGCTAAAGGTGAGAATTGCAAATTATATGCTGGTCTTTTATGAGCATAGGCGCCGATGCCAATGACATTGTTAATACATTGTGACAACAATTCGACGGCTATGATTATATAGGTATTTCAGATAAACTCCTGGTAACGGTTAGTAGTCCTTCGATCATAAAAAACAAGATGCTTAAGAATTTAAAACATCTCGATGGTTCTCAATTTTCTATTACAATCCACTTGAGTCCGACTGACTGCCTGGACTAAAGGCCGAAATACCTGTGAGACCACATCCGCATATTACTGCTACAAAACACTCATGTGTACCGAATTGTAAAGCAGGACAGTTGTTATTAAGATAATATTGAAAATTTGACAGCTTGTCTCGGTGAGTGCTGGTGGTAGGACCTCTTGTAAGTCCGCACGGTTAGGTACCACTACCCTGCCTATTTCTGCCGTGAAGCAGTAATGCGTTTCGGTTTGAAGGGTGGGGTAGCCGTTGTAACTATACTGAGACCTTAGAACTTATATCTCAAGGTGGGTGGCGCATTTACGTTGTAGATGTCTATGGGCTCCAGTAACCACTTAACACCAGGTGGGCTGTGAGCTCGTCTACCCATCTAAGCAATAAAAAATAAAAAGCCTAGTCGGTATTCTACTTCTGTTTATCACGGCAATATAAAAATGAAAATTTACAGAATTCAGTATAATCCTGCCGTGCGTGGGCAACAGCAGCGGTGTAGCAACATTTGAGATAGGTTTAGTGCTGAAAAACGCACGTGGACTGCCGTTAAAAGGCACCCCTCTAAGATTAAACCTAAAGAAGGAATGCGCACATAGAGGTGTGTATTTAGAAAGGACAGGTATTGTATCGCCAACGCATTTTTAACCATTACTTGCTTGTGTTTTTTTTGTTGTTTGGTACATACATACAATAGTAATAACAAAACAAAAAAACAATCATATTATTGTCATTAAAATTATATAAAATAACAACGGGAATTTATACCGGGGTCAAACACCATTATCGTTTCTATTAATAAATAACCGAACAGACTATCAGCATATATCGACATTCCTGTGACCTAAAACATGACTGTTTTAAATAATAATCATCAGTTGATAGGCTGTAATGGTCAGTCTGTGGGATCTAACTTCTCCATCATTTATTCATTTATTTAGTTGCACCAACAAAGTGGTCATACATAACATTGACAAATTGACAATAAGTAGGTACATGACAGATGTCACCTCAATTATAAATATGTATATTCACTGAAGTATGAAACCTAGGTCTATGAATATGTATATTCGACAGTGCAATAATTGAAAACATCTTGAAATTAGAAAATTACATCAATGAAATTAAAATTAAAAAATACAATGTATAATTTTAAGAAATATGAAATCCTGAAAAATACTTTATCACTAAGTAACAAAAAATTTAATGTCTACACATACCTACTAGAAAAAAAATAGTGATTACATTTGATTAGTTAGATAGGTATTATATTTAGTTGGGGAATTTAGCTCAAATAATTATGTGCGTATCGTGCGCGACACAGCCTCTTGCACTTATTAATTTATTTACTCTAGATGGTTCCATTTATTGCGGTCTTTGCCATGGAGTAGTACAAGCGCCTGTGAACTAGAGATATGTGGTCGGGCTGTCTTAACGGCTACGACTGCTAGGATTTTCAATTATACAATAAATAGNTTATATTTAGTTGGGGAATTTAGCTCAAATAATTATGTGCGTATCGTGCGCGACACAGCCTCTTGCACTTATTAATTTATTTACTCTAGATGGTTCCATTTATTGCGGTCTTTGCCATGGAGTAGTACAAGCGCCTGTGAACTAGAGATATGTGGTCGGGCTGTCTTAACGGCTACGACTGCTAGGATTTTCAATTATACAATAAATAGTCTTGTTATATGACCAAAGTATTGCAGCACATGCGGAAGGCAAATGTTAGATAGTCTTTGTGAAAAGTTAGCAATTGAAGGTACAGTTGCTTGTCGTATGAACCTTGCGGAATGCAGAAACTACGTCAACACAATTCAAATATTTCGATATTCTGTCCCAGCCCTTATGCTCAATTTGTGTCAGATAGAAAAATGGCAAAAACCAAACCATTTGCATGTGCATTTTGGTCTTTAAATAAGTTTTTCTTTCCACACGTGTTCCAGTGGACTACGCCGTTTCAATCAATTTTATTCGTTATTATAACAAATTCTTGGATAAAGCAATAAAAAATGAGCCTTGAATGTCAATTTTTGAATTAAATTCTTTCTCAAATTGATTAATATAAATATTATAATAAAAAATGAAATAAAAAGATTATGTGTATTAAAAAATAAAATATTGAATAATTTTATACAGTGGTGGGAAAGTCGATTTAGTCATTAAAATATTGAAGAGAGTATACCTAGCTTTATCTCTCTCTCTCTCTCACCTACAGCTGCGCCCAGAGAGGTTGGGACTGAGGAGGAGACGGAACCAAATAATTAAAGGCAAAATAGAGTCCGCAAATTAAAAAAAAATGGCATCAATTCTCGTTGTTATGGGATCCAATATTTTACTACAAAAGCTTACATTTATCTAAACTTACAACCTTAAAAACACAAGCATAACGCTTTAATTAAGTTTCATCGTTGTAATTTTTAAATAACATCTCTTCTATTACCATGTGCTACCCGTTCGTGTGTCATTCATTGCTTTTACGCTTACGAAAAAAGCTAGAACTACATTGGATACATGCGTCGTTTCACGCCAGCTGTGTGAAACAATTCCAAGATTATTATCAGTTGCTGGCCGATATAAAATGGCTTTGTAGATTATGTTTCAGTGCGATGCACTACCATTTCACTTTTCACCTCCGGCACCCTTCTAATATAGCTGGACTAGATTATCCGACAGACTATAGTTAACATTAAGCCCAGCTACGTATTATATGTCAGTGCTGGTTCGGTCTATAACAAGAGCTTTAAATGAGGATGAACGATGGGTGAAGTTAGAAACTAATGAATAGCAGGGGTATGCGCTGCATCGGCCTCATATCGAACCGGGCAGACGTGTAATATGCACCGACGCATAAGTTTGAGTCCAATGTGCCGAGACGTGGCCCGCCAATGTAGTTCAAGTTTACTGTAGTAAATCATTTATAACTTTTATTTGTAAAGTCATAAAATAATTAGCGCATATTGTGCTTTCGCTTTAACTAAGTATTAACACATTAATGGGTAGTGAGTGGGACAGTCGCAATAGAAAATGTTGTTGGGCAGGGATCGTCATGCGTCATTCACTTGTTAACATAACTAAAAGATAATAAAATGGAAATTATCTGATAATTTTAATGTAATGAACATTTTTCTTCATTATATTAAAATTCATTTGTTGATATTAGAAGTTAAGTTAATTTATCGTTTATTATTAACAAAAAGTCAAATCAAAATAATTTCACATACATCAACCCACACAGTAGAACAGATCTTCCAACGCGCTTGAAGGAGGCACAGTTCCCAAGATACTGGCTACGTTGCCTCGTTGGACAGCCAGACTCACTCTCTGTGCAAAGTACCAGCCAGCCTTAGCATCATGTGTAACCTCCTTCAAGCGTTTGGAGATTGTTGATATTTATTTTAAGAGAAATGGATCGATACATCGATTTCATCCTCGCGGTTGGTCGTATGACAAATTCCTTCACATAACCACCACAATTAAAAATAACTGGGTCACTTTGAGATTCCTATAATCTTGTTTTCTTGGTCGGTATGGCTACTAATTTGCAATCTCCAAACTCGATGGCAAATAGTCANAACTAAAAGATAATAAAATGGAAATTATCTGATAATTTTAATGTAATGAACATTTTTCTTCATTATATTAAAATTCATTTGTTGATATTAGAAGTTAAGTTAATTTATCGTTTATTATTAACAAAAAGTCAAATCAAAATAATTTCACATACATCAACCCACACAGTAGAACAGATCTTCCAACGCGCTTGAAGGAGGCACAGTTCCCAAGATACTGGCTACGTTGCCTCGTTGGACAGCCAGACTCACTCTCTGTGCAAAGTACCAGCCAGCCTTAGCATCATGTGTAACCTCCTTCAAGCGTTTGGAGATTGTTGATATTTATTTTAAGAGAAATGGATCGATACATCGATTTCATCCTCGCGGTTGGTCGTATGACAAATTCCTTCACATAACCACCACAATTAAAAATAACTGGGTCACTTTGAGATTCCTATAATCTTGTTTTCTTGGTCGGTATGGCTACTAATTTGCAATCTCCAAACTCGATGGCAAATAGTCAAGGCTCTGCAACCAAATGATTTTATTCACTTGCTGTCCCGCCGATTTTCCATTTACATTGCCAATTTTGGCCGCGTGACTCGGTCGGCCCGTCTCTACCCTAAATTACGTTAAGCACGTATTTGCAATGATAATAGACAAGTTGGTAATACCTACCTACCGGTGCGAACCCACATTAAACTCCTGAGATAACTGTTAGAGAGTTCTGTAATATAAATTTCTTGCCACACCACCTGCTGCAACAGATGACAGGACATACAGTTGATGGGAAAAGCGTAATAGTAAGATATCTTATACAGTTATACTTCGATAAATAAATAACTGAAGAACGTTTTCGTGCACGATCCTTTGACCTAAAATTTAGACTTTAATAGTAATGTTCTTAAATCACTCGTGTTGTGACAGTTAAAAACTGTGCGACAATTTAGAGATATCCCTGCCAAACACATTTTACTAATAAACATTCACAATAAAATACTTCCATCAGTGTTTTGTAAATTTCACATACATTCCATACCTATAACTCGCTTCAATCATCTAAAAACGACATTATTTTATAGAATTTTTTTCTAAACTATGCTGTCTCGTAACTTGTACTAAGCCGTCAAATACCAGTGCAAGTTCAAGTCAGCCTTAACAAATTGCATTATTTTCCGGACGCTTCGCCCGAGCTGTGAGTTTAGCTGGGACTGCGACGCCTCTGCTCACTACGTTTGCGATTTTAGGTTTGTATGGATTGCTTGACTTATTGTGAACGACATTGTACTTCTCTGAGACCTATTAATATATGTTCGGTGATATATTACCGAACACCTTTGTCAGCATAATTCGCGTGACGCGTTAACTTCATTTCCACAATTCGTCAGTGCACGATCAACAACCGCGTCACCCGGGTGCATTCATAACATTAACATTTAATTTAATTTCTCTATATTTTAACAATAAACATTTTTAAGTAACATTATCTTTAACTAACAAACTCACATCGCANATCATAAACAGCTCTCTTCTCAACACTGAGAACCTGAATGTCAGCGAGTCTAAAGATTTGCAGAACGCTCTCCAGAAACTACACGTGCGTATTGAAGATCTAGAAAACTCCCCGCCAGTATTGGAGACTTCATTAACATCTCACGATATTCATCAGTATGTGATAACATACATCATCGTCATCGTAGGAGTGCTGGCTACCAGCGTGCTACTCTGGCGACGACGACGGTTGAGTGCGAACCGGGCGATCATCTCTGACGGCATCGAGCTTCAACAGTATAGTGAATGTGAAAATGTAAATAGTGCTAAGGCAGGGTTTAGTGCGCGACCTTCTGTGGTGGACCCTTCGCCTGGTGATGTGAACATTTATGCCAAAGTGTCAAACAAAGCGTGCTCTCCAATACCAAGAAAACCTATATGGACCCTAAGTTCTTAAATTTTATTATACTAACATTTTAATTTAATTTTTGTTTGTCTTTCATCCTCTTGTAAGCCGTAATCATCTATTTACTAACAATTATTTCATTAAAGTATACTCTATTTTGTTGCCCCGGAATATGTTCGGTGATATATTACCGAACACCTTTGTCAGCATAATTCGCGTGACGCGTTAACTTCATTTCCACAATTCGTCAGTGCACGATCAACAACCGCGTCACCCGGGTGCATTCATAACATTAACATTTAATTTAATTTCTCTATATTTTAACAATAAACATTTTTAAGTAACATTATCTTTAACTAACAATATATATAAAATTATATATTTTATATATATAATATATAAAAGAAAACGAAATGTTTTTATGGAAAAAATGTACGAATAAATGAAAAAAACTTTTATTCGCGCAATTTCTTAATCATACCAAGATGTGCAGATCGGTCAAGTAATTTTGTACGTGCAGTAAGTTACTACGACTGTGCTTATACACTGAATTAAATAAACGAAAGATTGAACTATGAAAGTGATTTTTTCGATCACAATAAAATGTCATTATTATTTACTGACAATTGAAACATATTTGTACTGGCCGCCTAAGTCTTCTTTCTTTCTTTAATAGCAAAGCCTTATTTTAGTCCTAAAGTTTCGTAACATCAAACTAGAACACTAACATTATTTTTTTTTATACTGAAAAGAAAAATGAACCGAAGTTATTAAGTCTCCACTGCTCTTCGCTTCTTTCTACCCTATTTGACTGCAGAGATGTTAAGGGCTCTAGATTATTTTAAAAGACGAAACTAAGGACAAATATGCAAGTGTTTTGATAAAACGCATGTACCGGGTTAATGGCCAATCGGTCAGTGAGTTCATCTGAGCCGTCGTAATGACCTTGACCATTAATAAGGACGCTGATGTTGATGACGTGTACATTCAGGGCCGGACCCGGAGTGCGACAAGAAGTGCGCGAACCAGGGCTGGTGCAACGAGGAGAAGATCTGCCAGTGCCCCGAGGGGTACATGGGGCAGCACTGCCGCACGGCGCTGTGCTACCCGCAGTGCATGAACGGCGGCAACTGCACCGCGCCCGGCCTCTGCTCCTGTCCGCAGGGCTACCAGGGCCGACACTGCGAGGGAGGTAGGCGCTACCACCACCACCACCACTACTCTCCCGATCGTCTCCCGATCGACTCACGATATTTATTTGTTTATTAGGCACACAATACACATCACAAGCTAAAAAGATACACAATAAATAACAACAAGTAAAAAAAAAACTGGCTTGCAACATATAAGCAAATCGTGCGCACATACGACTAAGCAAGACAAATGTGCTGAACTTGTAAACAATGGTCCTTACAACTATACAACATACCTTATTATAATGTAAGGAAATAATTTTACTCACAACATTATACGTTAAACAATTTTTTTTTTTTTTTTTTTTTTTATTGCTTATATGGGTGGACGAGCTCACAGCCCACCTGGTGTTAAGTGGTTACTGGAGCCCATAGACATCTACAACGTAAATGCGCCACCCACCATGAGATATAAGTTCTAAGGTCTCAGTATAGTTACAACGGCTACCCCACCCTTCGAACCGAAACGCATTACTGCTTCACGGCGGAAATAGGCGGGGTGGTGGTACCTACCCGTGCGGACTCCCAAGAGGTCCTACCACCAGTGATTACGCAAATTATAATTTTGCGGGTTTGATTTTTATTACACGATGTTATTCCTTCACCGTGGAAGTCAATCGTGAACATTTCTTGAGTACGTATTTCATTAGAAAAATTGGTACCTACCCGCCTGCGGGATTCGAACACCGGTGCATCGCTACACACGAATGCACCGGACGTCTTATCCTTTAGGCCACGACGACTTCAAATTACATTAACCTACCTATTATTAACATGGAGGATGCCCTTGAACATTTATAAACGTCACTAACCTACAAGTAAAAATATCCAACTCAGTTGACGACTGTGCGAGTCCAGATATCCAGGAAACTTATGTATACAGGGCGATGAATAGGGCTTCTTGTGAACTCGCAGTGAGTTACAAGTGTAACGGAACTTTTCCTTGTTGTACAGATGGGTGGTTGAGCTCACAGCCCGCCTGCTGTCTTTAGCGGAGTCATTCATGATCATCATTCTCCTGCCCTTCTCTCAGTCACTTGAGATCGGCGCAACATGTTTTCTCCTATCATACTCCTCTATCATATACCACTTCTTCGCTCACTCCCTTCTTACACATATCGTCTTTCACGCAATTCATTCATTTTTTCTTAGGTCTACCTCTTTCTCTAAAGCCTTCCACATTCATAGTTAGCACTTTGTTAACAACCTCATGTTCATTTCGTCTCATCACATGTCCATACCATCCCAAACGCTCACTTCTCAGCTTCTCTGTCACAGGTGCCACTTTCATACTTCCTCTAACACATTCATTCCTTATTCTATCCATTCTCGTTACTCCACACATCCATCGCAACATTCGCATATCTGCTGCATGCAATCGCCTTTCATCATCAAGTTCAGCGGAGTCCTTAGACATAAACAACGTAAAAAATGCTGCCCCGAGTTTTAAGTCTTAATCCTATAGTACAGCGGCTGCTCCGCTATACAAACCGCATTACTGCTTCACGACAGAAATAGGCAGGGAGGTCGTATCTACCCGCGCGGGCTCACAACCAGTAGTTACACAAAGTATAATTTTTGCGGGTTTGATTTGTATTTCATAATGTTATTCCTTCACCGTGGAAGTCATTCGAGAACATTTAATAAATACGTATTTCATTACAAAAAATAGTACCCGCTTGTGGATTTCGAACCCCGGCATAGTCGCATCGCTTGACACGATCGCACCGGGCGACTCATCCTTTAGGCCACGACGACTTCAAACAGTATCTTATATTAAAAATTACACATATCACGCGCGTGGCTTAGAAGTGTATTTTAGAAAAAACAAAACGAATACTGTTTATTAATCAAATTTAATAATAGTTATGTTTTTTTTATAAACAGAGAAAAAAATCTATACTAAAATATACATAAATGTGAAAATTTTGATGACATTTCGCAGATATATAATTCATAGTCCGGATTAACTAGCTGGTGGGATACTTTTGTTCACGGTAAATAATATGACCCGGGCAACGCCCCCTCTATCCAGAATAGTAAGTACGAGTGTGTCCGCGAGCTCGCGATGTCCACTAGTGGTGCATCGACCACAGTGAGAAGAGCCACTGTTACCCGGGATGATACGTGTTTTATTCATTCTGAACGACAGTATTAGTGTTCAGTGACGTCACGGACGAGCGCCGAGGATGGTGTGTGCTCCGCTCACTCCGCATGCGCATGCACCCTTTTCTGTAGCAGTACCGTGGTCAACTAGCGCTCTACTATATATTGTAATACCGAGAACGGACTGGGATGATGATTATATCTCAAAGAAACATTCTGCTTCTGTGACCACAGAGAACAGTGCTTATGTATTGTTGTGACAGATTCGGTTCTCAGGCGAGTGCCAGCAGCGTGCTGACGTCAACACCAGCCCCGATAGCCCGGACAGTCCCAGGACTGTACAGTCCCGGGTTGAACAATCTCGGTGACGCCACACGCACAAGTGGCGGAACCCAGTGGGAGTCCTGGGCGAATGATATAATATACCATATCATATACAGTTTAAAATTGTATTTATTTTAGATATTTTTCAAACGTCACTTTTCCTAAATAGTCTAGATTGCCGAGGCAGTGCCGGGCCCGCTAGCTCTCTAACTGTCAGAATCTAATTAAATAAGATAGACAATATTTTGAAGCCAGTGTTTCCTTAGTTAGTAGATGATGCCTTGAAAAAAATCCGTTATATGTGATTTTCAAGTTCACTGACGACTCCGCTGTCGGCTGGCGGCGGCGCCCACACGACGTATGTACAATATTTACAAGGTTTCGTTTATTATTTGTATTGCCCGCTCTGCGTGACGCCCGGTCCTATATCTTCTTGGAGAGCTGTATGGCGGCCCGGCAGCCCGCCTTGATGAGCTCGGTGAGCGCGCGGTAGCCGGGGGCCTGCTCGGCGCCGTGCTGCAGCCCCGCGTCGTGGTGCTCCTGCTCCTCGTCCCTGAACCTGGTGATCGTCTCCAGGATCTCTTTGTCCACGTTTGGGTCCTGCATCAGTGTACGCAGCTGGTCGTTGTAGTGGTCAACGATTACCGTTTCGACGGCGACGGTGCAGGCCATGGCCGCCTCTTTGCCGAGGAGCGCTGTGCCTGAAACGTTGAGGTCGGCTTGTTGAGACGACACACGTTTGTGTCCAGCCAATTCAAAGCTGTTCAAATGAAATCAATTGTAGTACAAATGCGATAATATTTTATCATAATAAAATAAAGAAATCAACTATATTAAATTTTTAAGGATGAAATATTTACAATTTTACTGCACTGAATATAAAGTATAATGTTCTGGGCCAGGTCTTCAATTGGGGTGAAATTAATTTAATTCAAGTTAGGAAACAATTACTTTATCGCAAAATAATAATTACTATTACTATGAATAAACTGACCAGCTCCTAATACAAATCCTGCCACATTCCATATCGGAGTGAGTACAGTAGGTCTCACTCTGTACTCATTGATGAGCTGCTCAAATTTCTCCCTGTGCTTCTTCTCCTGGTCCCACATGTGCTGGATTAGGGGTCCTTCAGCTGTGCGGCCCAAGACTGCCATTTGTCCCGCGTAGATGCGGTCCGCGCCCAATTCACCGGCGTGATCCACGCGGATTATCTGGTCAAGCTTTTTCAAACACAACTTTTTGTCAACTGTTTGATATTTTAGGAGGGGGGGGGGGGATAAGTATCCTGGGGCCAGTACCACTGAACCTTGGCATTCAGAAAATTCGAGATAGTTTTCCGTGATATAATACTCAAATAGTTTAATAAACAGATTTATTAGTTGTCAACCCTTTTTATTGCTTTTTAGTACATATTGAAATTGAATATGAAACATTGATTTGTATTGGAAATACATTTATTGCTCGAACAAATTATTCAATTAATTGAGTAGTAATGACCTCGAATTACTATTAGTAGAGATACAAGACCGCGCACACGGTGACCACGGAGACAAAACTTGAGAACAAAGTTTAAACGAACAAAAGTCTTTCCTTTTTTCTTTTTTTTTATAGCTAGGATTTCGGGGACACCAATTAACTGGAAAATAAGGCTCCCATTTCAATATGTTTTTTATTGAAAACTTTAACCTTTACAATGTAGTGAGTTTTTAAAGCCGCTTTAGTTGACAAAATCGGAAATTTATGAGAATGTAAATACCTACCTACTGGTGTAGTGTGAATTATTTATTTTTATTTTGTGTTTTGAACCAAATTTAAATGTGGACTAACAATGTCAGCGTAAATTTATTTATTCAATGAATAATCAATACTACCACTTGAATAATGCTACTCAATAAATTACATATAAATAGGGTAGACGAACTCACGGTCCGCCTGGTGCTAAGTGATCACCTAAGCCCATAGACATCAACAATGTAAATTTCGCCACCCATCTTGAAACATGAGTTCTAAATCTCAATTCTACATATAATACAACGGCGGCCACGCTCTTTAAGCCAACACGCATTACTGCTTCACGGCAGAAATAGACAGGGTGGTGGTACCTACCTGTGCGGGCTCACAAGAGGTCCTACCATCAGTAATTACGCAAATTATAATTTTGTGGGTTTGATTTTTATTACGATGTTATTCCTTCACCGTGGAAGTCGATCGTGTACATTTGCTAAGTACGTATTTCATTAGAAAAATTGGTACCCGCCTGCGGGATCCGCATACCGATGCATCGCTAGATACGAATGCACCGGACGTCTTATCCTTTAGTGCACGACGACTTAAAAGCTAATAAACCTAATAAAAGCATATTAATTTTACTCACGTGTGGATTTTTCTTCCAATAAGGTCGACTGCTGCTGTGCGCCAATCTGATGTGTTGAATCAGTGGTGATCGCATGTTTATCTAAAAGCCCGACCACAAGAGTGAATTAATGAAAACAATGAATGTTTTAATGCCTTTAAATAATAAATATTTGTCACGACGCTCAAATATAGATTCACAATTTCACCGTATAATTTATGGAATTTAAAAAGCTCATCATGATTGAAAGTTTGACGTGGCACAAGAGTATTTCACGTTAGGTCTACAAGTTCTAACTATGACTATATTTAGAGGGGGGAGTGAAATTTGTCAAGTTATCATTGGTAGCTACATAATTATTGGTTGGCATTTCCCGAGATCTTATTGAATCGTGGAGACGATTTTGAGTGTGTTAATTTTGTATTATATTTCAATATTCTCCAAGGAATAATTACGAACTGCATTTTTTCGACATTTAAAAAATTTATTCCTTGTACACCAGCACACTGAACCTACTCGTTTGAGCTCACAAAGCGCCCTACTAACAATTCATTACGCATCTTATCAGTGTCGTCTTTTGTTTCAGGTATATGTGCACAGAAATGTATGAACGGTGGAAAATGTATCCAGAAGGATACCTGTTTCTGTCCTAAAGGACATTACGGACGGAGATGCGAATTTTGTACGTATCTGTAATTGTTTGGGTTATTAGGAGGCTCGGCCTGCCTTACTTATTGTAGAAATTATAACGATATTAATAGAAATGTCCGCATCACAACACTGGTTTGGGGATAAACATCATTGTACATATATTATTTAGAGAAATTATCGCTATATTAGTGATCAGTTCAAGTGTACAATGACGCTCAGTAATATTCTGCGGAGTCCATGTTCGGTTTCCGACCGGAACCTCCTTGTTATAACAAATGGTATTCGGGTTTTTGGAATCTAAAAATATAACCTTGTTTCTTACGTGTACGTCTCGGGTGATTATAGAAGACGTAGAGAAAGCAGTTCGAGAAGCATTAGAAAGATCGTTAGATTTAATTTAATAACCGGACATAGAGCGCCCAGCGAAAGGTTGGTTATCGCTGTAAGATCGGGTTGCTTTAGTACAATGCAACTGTCATCCGCGCCATTGTTAATATCAATTAAGTAAATAAATTTTTTATTGGCAATCATATTATATTGTTTTTTTTTACTACCCTTGTAGGCAGACGAGTATACAGCCCACCTGATGGTAAGTGGTTATCGTCGCCCATGGACTTCAGCAACGCCAGGAGCAGAGCCAAGCCGCTGCCTACCGTTAAGTACTCTCCACAAGCCTCGTTTGAAGAAGGATATGTCATAGCGCTCGGGAAACACCGTGTCCGTAGTTCGTGCCCAGACCCGTCTACACTTCAGCGATACGACAGTTGAGCTAGTATGTTGAATTAATGTTTTGTCGACAGCAAAATGTGTAATCCCATGCTTGAACGGCGGTCGTTGTGTCGGCGTGAACAAGTGCCGGTGCCCGGCGGGGCTGGGCGGCGACCACTGCGAGGTGGGGCGGCGCGGGGAGTGCAGGGGGGCGTGTCGCCGCGGCCGGTGTCGCGAGCNCCGTCTACACTTCAGCGATACGACAGTTGAGCTAGTATGTTGAATTAATGTTTTGTCGACAGCAAAATGTGTAATCCCATGCTTGAACGGCGGTCGTTGTGTCGGCGTGAACAAGTGCCGGTGCCCGGCGGGGCTGGGCGGCGACCACTGCGAGGTGGGGCGGCGCGGGGAGTGCAGGGGGGCGTGTCGCCGCGGCCGGTGTCGCGAGCCCGGCTGGCGGGGACGAGCCTGCCAACGACCCCCTGGTGTGTAGCCCCCACCACATCCACCGCACCGAATCCATACCCGATATTGTTATATAGGTTTGTTGGTCATCTTATCCATGGTTATGGAATGTACAATTATTGTGTTCAAAGCCCGTCACAATTACAGGATACAATTAGACCCTATTCACCGAATTCATTCATATTATACACAACGCGTATTTGTTTCATTTTGTCATTGTAATTTAGTGAACAATTACATTAAAAGAAAAGGCCTTAAGCTAAAATTAATAAAAAAAACGATTGCCGTCTGGGGAAGATGAAAATGTATATTAAACTGTAACGGACTAACAACCAATGGGTTGCGTAGTGTCTCCTGATTCTAAGCCAGGCTGACTATCATTATCTGAGATCTTTTTATAAGACCCCTGTGGTTTATATTCATAAAAATTGATGCTCTATCTTACACTCAAATGATTGATTTCGGAGCCTTAATGCTTTGGAAAAGCTTTTTTCATGGAATACATGCTTCACATAAAAGGGGATCCTTTTATATTGGTAATAAATAAATCCATATCAATAAGCTTGATGTACCAACAAATAGATTAACTGCATTGCATTTGGATTGACATTGGACTTTGAACACCAGAGAAATTCATAACTGTAGCCCGCAAACTATGATTCATTTCACTGTTATTTTTAATAAAGCAAAAAGTATAATGTTTTTCTGTAGGACACTGCCCGTTAGACAAATATAATACCTGAACTCAGAAATACAATATGAATAAGGTTGAAAGGTACAATTATACCCCAATTGTATTGGAATAACATTCATCGCTTTTTTTTTTTTGAGATAAATATCACAATTTAAACTCACTAAAACTGCTGCGGAAAATTGTAGTATGTCTACTAAAATTTGCAATATTTATGAATTTTCACAATTAATACTTATTGTAGTAGTAATAGTAGCATATTGTAAATTGACACACGAAATTATGATTACTATAAAAAGCTCTCACTAACCTGAATACTTTTAATTCCAGGTTCTTCAGAGGAATCAGGCGAATACAAAAAGCCACGATAATACATAGGTTAAATACAAATACTTAATGTGATTTTATTATTAAAATACAAAACTATGATATGTACTTTTCATACATATACATATTATTATAATTTAGTCATGTAGAACATACAGCATTTAGTTGTATACTTAAATGTAGAAATATGCAATATATTGAGATTATAAATATATTATTGTGTTTTATTACAATTATGCAAAAAATCTTCCAATTACATAACAATAATTTTTTTTTATTTATTGTTTAGATGGATGGACGAGCTCACAGCCCACCTGATGTTAAGTGGTTACTGGAGCCCAAAGACATCTACAGTATAAATGCGCCCCCCACCTCGAGATATAATCTGAGGTCTCAGTGTAGTTACAATAGCTACGCCACCCTTTGAACCGAAACGCATTACTGCTTCACGGCGGAAATAGGCGGGGTGGTGTTACCTACCCGCGCGGACTCCCAAGAGGTCCTACCACCAGTGATTACGCAAATTATAATTTTGCGGATTTTTTTTTTTATTACACGATGTTATTCCTTCACCGTGGAAGTCAATCGTGAACATTTGTTGAGTACGTATTTCATTAGAAAATCTGATGATACAACAATTTTTATGGCCATTTTTTATACCATTTTATTTGTTAGACATTTATTCCTCTATGGTGTGCAAGCAAAATAAATTGATTTTATTTATATTTATTGGTAAGGTAATTTTCACTGATTTGACAGATAAGTCAGGGCTGCAAATTATGATGTGATAATCTGACACTATACGCATAAGATCCAGTTTGGGTAGCTGATCGTTATCAATATTTTTGATAAAGATGAATGGCAGTCAGGATCTGTAAATACAGTCCACCCACCCTTTGCAGCAATAGCGCAAAGCTCATTCCTACTACCTTTAATAACTATACTCATACACAATGCATTTCTAAATATCATTTTAGCCACATTTCATCTAGGACTAAAATAAGTTTATCCTAGAATTTTTTAATTCTATGACATATCCTCTTTAAAACAATGTTTCAGAAGATTATTACATTATTGGTGTCAATAAGCATCAGCATAAGTACAGTACAATACGACTCACCATCAAGTGATTCAGTATCCCATAGTAGAATTAAAAGGAAGGGCCCAAAGCCCATTGCATGCTCGTTGTTCGGGGGAAATTTGTAATTGATAATTAACTAAGTTCCTGATAAGCAAGAGAAGAAGCAAGAAAACCATTCATGATTTTGAACTTGTCATTTCTATCTTAATTTTTCTATTAGTACATTTTTTAAGCAATATCTAATAAAAGACAATTTTACGGTTACTATCTTCGAAATGGCGATTGCTAATTTCGTAATTTCTTCTTCATGAGGAGAAATTTATTACATCTTAACAATTTGTGACATAACAACACGTTTTGATAACAATTATTAGTAATTTCTCACCCATTTTATTTGCCTTTATTTTATTTACCTATTTTATGTATTTAATTATTATTAGGTATTATTAAAGAAAGAGGTTATACTTCGTATGGTAAAATATTGATTTATAAAATAGGTAATAACCATTTAGCCCCGATGTATTCATGACTTACCTTTTGAATCAAATTCATTGAACTAATTCCACTCCCAGATATACACTACGTTACAGCAAAACCTTCGAATAACAACAGTAATTTAATAATTACCTTGCAATCGATTTAAAAAGGTTTATTTACAAAATGCACTGTCAAATATAGTTGAAGAAAATCTTTCTAGATGGCGCTATACCGTGACATGAATTGATCAATTTCGAAAATAAACTAGAGATTTTTCCTGTACAGCCCGTGTCGAAGGCCACTAAATTCATATGCGACCATAATTTGATCTAAAAAACGGTAAGTATTTCTCTAATCAGTTTTAGTTGTACAAAACTGATATTTCGAATTATTTTGAATCCCCCCTCGGGCTGAGGGGTAATTTCCCACTCCATGCGAAAATCACACCGCGCAGACTCGTACAAAATGGCGACCCGAAGATACAAAGTGTATACGGTCTACATACCGGGATCACCGATCGATACCAATGGAGGATTCAGAATTTTCGGGGTCTCGCGTGCACTCCGCAGTTTTTGTGAAATCAGTGTTCCGCCGAGTGTGAATGCTATAAAAAGTGTTATTTGGAACGGGTTACATCACAGCGGACTCCCGAAACTAGGATTTGGATCGCAAAATGTGTCTCAAATCACGCAGGTGCGTACGCAGCCGTAGTCTTCCTATCCAGTCTGGGCCTGCTCGAACGCGCGGCCGCCCTCCATGGTAGCCATTCATTTGAGCTTATCCTTTACGCCGCCGCAAAGAGTTCGCGTCATGCGTCTTCAAAATTGACCTGTCGCAGCCTGACATGCATCGTGCAAACAAAACATCCGCCGAATGCGTCATTTAGTTGCATACCCTTACGAGATGCACCCGAAACATTCGGTGACGGAGACCAATGAATGCAATAAAGTGCAACAATATTGAATTTTAGTTTCATTAATGAATGCACGAGAAACCAAAACAATATAGATTTAAGATCAGATATTTAACTAAATTAGGTAAATGGCATCAACTGTGTGGGTAGGACAAGTATTGATTTTTCATAGTTGTCCTACCCAATGAAATATATACTCAAACATTTTGGAAAAACATCACCTCTAATGAATTCTAACTAAAACGGGTTTTTTCTGCATAGGTTCCTGAGTCATACAAACTTATTGATGATATTAAATAAATATATACTGCCAGTATAAATTCCACAGCTATCAGGAAATAAAAATCATAAACAATATTCACCTACATAACCTTATTACTCAACACTAGATAGAACAACAAATAAAAAAATTATAGCTTTATATACTTTACCGAGGTCAATGACCTTTGACTAATAGAAGCTGACAAAATAAATTTAATTTGAATGGAAAAAAAACAATGAATGTAATGTAACTAACAATATGCAATAAAAAAAAAAGAGAAATAACAAATTGAGTCTTAAGTACTAGTTGTACATGTGAGGGCCCATAGCTTCCATCAAATAACTACTAATCATTGCTTGCAATTTTGCATTTGGTGGTGAGGACCAGGACAGCTGATGTATCAAAATAATTGAGACTTCAATCTCATAATAGTAGATCATCACTCTTTTTGGGATAGTAGTAACTTTCATGGTACCTACAGGTTCTGGGTACTGGTGATTTAAAGGCTGTGAGGGCATCTAATCCTCTCATTTAATTGAATTTTTGTACCAAGACCAACACAAGATTTATTAAAATTAAGAAAATGTCTTATTTTGGAATAAACCTTATCAAGGTTTTTAACTGACTTCAAAAAAGGAGGAGGTTCTCAATTTGACTGTATGGTTTTTTTTTTTGTTTGTTACCTCATAACTTTTTACTTGTGATTCGATTTTGATGGTTCTTTTTTATTAGAAAGCTGACGCTTCTTGTGTGGTCCCATATCAATTTAATCCAGTTCTGATAATGGTATCCATGAGAAAACCATATAATTTGCAGTTTTAAATTTGCAATTAAGTATGTACGAGACAAATACATGAACAACTCAATATCACGCCAACCGATTTCGATGATGATGGTTTTTAGTGTATATTAATTTGTTTTGGAATATCTTTTTTTTTTCTATTTGAAGTCGGTTTTTGTTAAAGCATGTCTATATACAATTATATATGATTGACATATGTTAAAACAAAAAAACACTTTTTTTTCTGTCCTCTAGTATAGTAAACTACTTTTATTACTTAATTTAGGATTTATTAATTTAATTTCAAATTTTAATAGCCCTTTAGTTAAGGTCGGTTGACTAATCCGAAAGTTAGAGTAATTTAATTTATGATATGAAATGCTAAAAGTCTAAATCAGCTTTTGAAGAATACCATTCATCTACAGTATAGCATTCCACCCAGTCTTGAGTGGCTTACTCACCTGCAGTCAAAGCTCAATGAAATTGTTGAATAGCTATCCTTTATCTTCAAATTGTTTGGCATAATAGCTTTTTAAAGAAATAGGCAAAGTAAAGGTTTAAAATATCTACTTAAAATACCTACCCTACCATCATAAAACTATTTAGTAAGCTTATAACAATATCACATGTTCCAATTATAGACTATGAGTGTGAGGAAATGTTATGTTTTTTTGCAGGCTTTAAATACTAAACGAACAAGCTGAGCTAAGTTTCTGAAGTGTGCAATTAGATACATTAAACACAAATGGTCCATGAACTGAGATCATCAAAGGAGGTGGGGGAGATAAAACCAGAGATGAACGCCGCCGTCAGCACAGAGTCCATGGACATGACTGAGGAGGTATGTTATTTAAGAAGGTTAGCATTCATCACTAGTTGCCAACAGATAATGGCCGTCATTGGTTGTCAAAAAGGACATTCATTTATGGCCAAGATTGCCTACCTACCTGTGTTGTCTTGTTTTGTTTGCATCACTTTAAAAGAAAGATGGTTCTAAGTATCTGTCCTGACAAAGTACGTTAAGTAGTGATGGTGTATAAGACCCTAAGTCACAACAAATAGAACAATGTGAGATTGAGAACATAATTACAGTTGCTAAAGATGAAGATTGCAAAAAAAAAACAAAGTATAAACTTTGTTTTTTTTTTTTTAAATTATTTTAAATAATTATATTTAATTTAATAATTTAAATTACAATTTAAAAGTTACACTAAGTTAATCTAAAATTTTAAGACAAGCAATAGCTGAATTATTATAAAATGGGATGTTTCAACCTCATATCTCAAGGTGGGTAGCAATCATGTGGTGGTGTATTCAATAACAGTTTACTCACGTATATGACACACCATATGCTATTAAGTATAAATTGAGTCTAATGTAAATTATTCAAGAACATTCTGTGCACAGGATATGTCCCAGGTGGAGGGCTGCGGGTTGAGCGGCGGCTCGGAGGACGAAGACGAGTGCGCCTCGTCTCCGGCCGGCTCCAACTATGACGACGGAAACGACATCATCAAGAATGCCATGAGCGATGAAGTTACAAAGCAACTTGCAGCCGCCGGTCCGTATCTCATTTCTATTTTATTTCTCACAAGCCGTCAACACCTAGTTTTGCTAGTTCATATCAAATTGGGTGCTTCTAACTGGGGTTTCTGGATTTTCATGTTATTTATTTAACATTACATATATAGTATGTATGTAAATTGTATTTGTGATGTGCAGGGCAGGCAGGCAAAAATCATTGTAAGGAACTCACCAAAACCAAATTAGACCTTGTAGTTGAGTTTGTAGTAGTCTTTATTTATTGAAGTGATAATTTCACACTTCAAACCGAAAGGCATTACATCTTCACCTCTGAAACTGACAGAACAAGTACCGACCTACCTATCAAGATTTACAATATGCCTCACCCTCAGTGTCTCAACCAATTATCTTACTTCATTTATTTTCGTTTTTGTATATAGTAAGTACCTTCCAACTTAAACCATTACAGAATTGTAGAAAATTATGTTTTCTAGATTAATCACTATTTCATTTTCGAAACTAGTAAGTAATAAGTTAAGTACATGATTCGATGATAATTAGGTGTTATGTTTGTTTGTTATAAATTGAACAATCATAAAATTTCCAAAATATGTAACGTTTATACATAAAACATCACAAACCGCGCCGAGGTCGGCGGCGTGCATGTGAGACCCAAGTTACGTAAAGATCGTCGTCAGGCCCCGTAGGCATGGCGGCGGCCGCGGCTATCGCCTCGTCGAAGAAACGCAAGCGCCCACACTCCTTCGAGACCAACCCCTCCGTCAGGAAGCGACACCAGAACAGATTATTAAGGAAACTTAGAGTGAGTTTATGAATTTGTTCTAATACTTACCATCGACCACCATATGTGACGCATTCAATATATCACGCAGTGTGTGATCGGGCAGCCTCTTTAGCGCCCATACGTGAAGCGGGCACCCTCGCAGTGGTGTTTAAGACGTGAGCTCCTGAATGGCCAGCCGCACTAACGCGTCTTATCGCCTCTCGTCCAGTTGCACCAACTAGGGTCCGTTTTCGCGAAAGACCGCTCGTGTCCAAGAAACCCCCTATTCACAATTTCTGGCATAGGGCATTTTATCGGAGCTGCCATTCTATGGAATCCCCGAGAGACTGCAAATAGTTCGCAAGCTTTTTGGAGACAAAGCATTACATTCGTCGACGGTTGCTACTCCGATACCAAGAAAACTAGAATAATAAACTGGAATCTTAAATCGTTAAAGAAGTTATAATTATAATTCTTAAGACATTTTTATAGTAACACCGGCTTCAAAATAAATACATTTGATTAACGATTATCTGGTAGCAAACAATCGAAGAGTTCGCGACACGAGTAGGTCAGCAGGCCGTCGTGCTGGTGGCCACTCCCGGCAAGCCCAACACTTCCTATCGCGTGTTCGGCGCCAAGCCGCTCGAGGACGTCGTCAGGAACCTCCGCTGCATGATCATGGAGGAGCTGGAGAACGCTTTGGCGCAGCAGGTAACTATAATGCCTTCCCGTACTGTTTATATGTCCTCTATTAATAATAATGTATACTTAGAGACAGACTACATTTGGTAATACATGTCTGTTGTTGGCAAATCCACTTATATTGAAGCAGTCGTGCACACAGGAAGTGGATGCATTACAAGCGACCCAAATCTCATTACTAGTACGTAATCTAAGTACTTAAAATTAGCTTAATATATAGCTTTATAACTTCAAAATTCCATACTGTGTGATCAGAAAATCATAAATATGTTAGGTGTTTACGCGATGTACATATCTTATTCACATCGATATAAAATTAGCTTAAAATAGTCATAACACAAATTAATAGAGCGAGACGCGTCAGAAAGCGGGTGTGTGAGGAGCGTCAGATCGTGCGTGCCTCGGTCTCACAGTACAGTGGATAGAGCGAGACGCGTCAGTAAGCGAGTGTGTGAGGAGCGTCAGATCGTGCGTGCCTCGGTCCCACAGTACAGTGGATAGAGCGAGACGCGTCAGTAAGCGAGTATATAAGGAGCGTCAGTTCGGGCGCGGCTCGGTCCCGCAGGCGCCGCCTCCTCCTGCTGATGATCCCTCGCTGTTCGAGTTGCCGCCGCTCATCATCGACGGCATCCCCACCCCCGTCGAGAAGATGACCCAGGCGCAGCTGAGAGCCTTCATCCCGCTTATGCTCAAGTACTCGATGGGTGAGTCTCGTCTACCTTATACCTTATAGGTCCTCCTTCATATCATACAGGAAATCCTTGGCCCACTTTTCAGTTTTTTTAACTGAAATATTATTACCGTAACACGTTGGACAGAAATAAATGCAATTTCCTGCTGAATCGCCTCCTGCCTTTCTTGTAGAATGTAATAGTCACTGATCTTTTTTAAGAAAATAATTGCAAGGAACATAAACAATTGATGTTAACTATTTGATTACCGTAAAATTACAGGGTTATCTAAAAATAACCAAAAGCTAATCATGTATGTATGTACGTATCTGTGACACATTGAACACTTGTCGAGCAGTCCGCGGCAAGCCGGGCTGGGGCCGCGAGTCGACCCGGCCGCCCTGGTGGCCCAAAGACTTGCCCTGGGCCAACGTGCGCATGGACGCTCGGTCTGAAGATGAGAAGCAGAAGGTAACTGCACGCCATTAATTATACGCAACTCGCACGCACCACGAGAATAATTAATGCAAGTGCAACGACCGACCTCTTCCAGATGTCATGGACCCACGCTCTGCGACAGATTGTGATCAACTGCTACAAGTACCACGGAAGAGAGGATCTCCTGCCAGCTTTTACTGAAGAAGACGAGAAAGGACCTCCGACACAACCCGTACGTAGATTCATTGCGTGTCTATTGCATATATGTCCACTTCACGAACTATGGGTTTTCACTTCAGGGCGGGTGTCTATCTACATCTTAGCTACATTGTAATTAACAGCAGATTGTGAGAGATTATACTATTAAGAATAAAAATTATCAGGGAAAAACTAAAATTTGCTTAGGGAGTGAGTAAATATAATATTAAAGTTGAAACTGTTTTAACTAGGTTAGTTATTCGACTGGTTCCAAAAAATCTAGACATCAAGAAGATCGAATAAACTGATTTGCATTGATTAAATTATGATTTAAATAGATTTGTCTTAGAATGTGTTTGCTGCGTTTAGTACATATAAGGAAGCAATGTTTTGGAGATTTTTATTTCAAGTGAAGCTAATGTTTTAGTTGACTGGAATAACGACAGAGTTCTATGGTTCTGTCTTGTTTCAACAAGCTGTTTCTTATCTACGACGATGCTGCCATCTATTGGTCCATATCGGAATCTTTAAACCAGAGGGTAGTTTGAGAAAATATTTTCTACACATTTTTTTCCTGGACTAAAGTCCTGTGTTGAGAAATATTAATTTAAAAATGTTTTTGTCAAATCCCAATAATATTTTAATTTGTTTGTATTTGTATAGGGGGGAGATTGTTAACTTTTCAACTCTCATATATAATATGCACATTTCATATATTTTTCAAAAAATCAGTTAAGATAGATAAATACAAACATATTTAATACTGAAATCATTATTAAAGTTGCGAGTTGGAACGTTACTCCATAAGCTCTTATAACATTTATTTCTTGAGCACTAACCAATTTGTTTATAAATTGTACTGGAGAATCAAATGAGATGATTTGTTCCACATCCTGGACATTGAAACTGTGAGTATAACATATTGGTTCCTCGCACGCTGCCGGAGTAGGTGTCTGCGTGCATGCCGGGCGCGGGGTCCGGGGGGGCGGAGCCCGGGGGCTCCCGCCCGCACCACGCGCTCGCCGAGCAGCAAGTCTGCATCGACCAGATGACACTCGCCGACGTCGATGTACGGACAACCGCGCCCGTCACCTTACTTTCGATCGCAACATAATATTTTTAGCTTTGTTTAAACACTACGTAACCTCAATAACAGTCAGCTAGCTCGCGGGGTCAATGACCTTACACGAACACGAACAGTTGTTCGGCGTCGATGTGAGCTCGAGTGAATGCGGCCCCACGCCCCACGCCCTCTGCCCTATGCGGCCTGTGCCCTCGAGAACACTTTACTGTGTGTCCGGCTTCGGGGGCGTTTCCCTTACACCTCGTGTTGCCGCGTGTCACCGCGTGTCACGGGTCCCGAGCATGTTTAGTTTAAACTTAAAGTTTCAAAAATGTTATCTGTGTTCTAGTCTAGGACAATGGGGTTGGACTGTTAGGAGCATCTCAGACAGGATATATTATTGGGCCGCGTTACGCTCTCCTACTACATATGAACATTTTAAAACTGCCACAGCATCTGTGTGCTTACTAAATATACATAGTTAGTGATGTTTTTTTTTTTTAAAACACATAAATGATATCATAGCAATAAAACTTAAAACAATGACGGTGTGGTGTGCACAGATGTCGCAGTACGCTCCCGCCGTGCTGCAGACCATCACCAACCCCGACGGGAGCGTCTCCCTCATCCAGGTGGACCCCAACAACCCCATCATCACGCTGCCCGACGGGACCACCGCGCACGTGGTCAGTCACTGCTCACTCCTGCAACACAAGCTCTAATAGCTACCTTACTGACACACCGCGGCAAGGCAGCCGGCTCGCAGACACCGGTTGTTCTAATGAAATATTCACTTCCATGTAGTCTGAACTACTTTCACTGTGAAGGACGGCGTGCAATAAATATTGAACCCACTAAAATGATTATATGGATATTTTGCACATAATTAGTGGAGGACAGGCTTCACTGTGCCCGCTCGGAAGGGTGGGACAATCGTTAAAAAAAACAAACGAGACAAGATCTCATGTTTCACGCTGTGACGTCACGTCAGCTGTGTCTGCGTGCACACTTGGAAGTTCCTACTCTCAAAATTATAAAATAATGTATATAATGCAAAGTGTAGATAGAACTACCGAGGGTCGTAAAGGAAAAATACTGGTCTACTGACACTTCCCGTCTATCTTCTCATACGCGGTCACACACTGAGCTCTCTCTGTGGTCCCCGTACAGATCCAGTCCGGCGAAGGCGGAGCCAGCGTGGTGGGGGCGCTGGACACGGACGGCGCCGTCGCCGTGGACCTCAACGCCGTCGCCGAGGCCACGCTCAACCACGAGGGGCAGATCATCCTCACGGCGGACGACGGGCACGGCTACCCCGTGTCCGTGTCCGGCGTCATCACCGTCCCCGTGTCCGCCTCCGTGTACCAGTCCATGGTCGCCTCCATGCACCACCACGAGGCCGTCTGCGTGGCGCCGCTCGTGCAGGTCACGCTGCGACACTGACTACCAGTGTCATTATGTTAAAGATTATATTTATCGATGTAATGACGTTTAAACTGTGGTACTATAACTGAAATGTCGACGCCGCAATGTACGCGCGCCTCGACACTATCAGAACTAGTTCCCCTAGTCCACAATGTGCCAAAGTCGCAATACTTTATGTCTCTTGTTTGTCTTCTACACACGGTCCTGTTTTTAAGTTTCCACAATAAATTTGGTATTTAATTTAATCTTCAATTACGTCCTGGTAGCAAAGACAAACAAGACACTTTTACCATTAAAACAATGTGCAATGCAACGGACGTGCCATTTGTAATAAATTGGTAACCGTACGTACCGACGCTACATATCAATTGGTAGAGCACCAATGCACTAAGATTCAATAAGAAAATAATTATTTTAAAAGTCTGCAATATAAATGTTATTGTTTCCTATCGGAGCGAACCGGTGCAATATGTGATCCCAAAGCGTTGGGTTCGCCAGGTGAGACACCGCCAGGGGTCGCTGTATTAAATTATAAAAATAGTTTCAACTATTTAATATTCATTCGATAATACTAAAAATAAAATAATAAAAAGTGTGTGTGTCCGCTCCGACGCACGACTGGAGTTTACTGGATATAAAAAATTAAACGAAACAATACGAGAAATAGTTCTATATTACGACAACACGATACACTACAGATTATTAACAAATTAACGAGACACAAAACAAACGACTAACAAATNAGAGATTATTTAAATTCATATTATGGTAAATATGGTAGTTTGGACAATTGTTGTTTTTTGTATTGTAGGTTATCAATTATGTGTAATTTTCAGATGCCTGATGAAGGTCTAATAAAAGACCGAAACGTTGCTAAAATAATAATGTAATTTGTTATAATAGTCCTATCTTGTCCACATTCCTGAGATACACGAAAAATATTTTATAAATGTTATTGTTTCCTATCGGAGCGAACCGGTGCAATATGTGAACCCAAAGCGTTGGGTTCGCCAGGTGATACACCGCCAGAGGTCGCTGTAGTAAATTATAAAAATAGTTCAACTATTTAATATTCAATCGATAATACTATAAATAAAATAAAATCATAATCGATTAATAAATAATATAATTAGGATCTCAAACAAACCCGATCCCAAAGTATATCGTTGCCAAATAACACTTTATTTTTAAATCAAATTACTTAAGTAATGAATAAATCCATAAAGAAACTAGTGTTGGACACTACGTAGCTTAAATTTATTAAAGCATAATATATTAATAGAATAGACAATATTATATTTTTTATTTTGTTATGTTTTGTTTTTTATATATTTAAATGTGTTGATAATATAGATATATAATTATAGCGACATTTTTTTAATGCATAGATGGGTGGACGAGCAAGCACAGCTCACCTGCTGTTAAGTGGTTACCGGAGCCCATAGACATCTACAATGTAAATGCCGCCACCCACTTTGAGATATGAGTTCAAAGGTATTCGTAATTATGGTAATAAAAGTGAAACGCATCTCGCACGTTCACTTCTTGTCTGATTATCTGTGGGGTCACTGGTGGGAGACCCGCCGGGGAAACTAACTCATTAGAGACTGCTGCTCTCTCTTCAAATGTTAATGTACACTGCTGGGCTCGATACAAACTTGGATAACATTGGAAGTGTCCTACAAGGGGGCCGGTCTTGTATAATGTGCCTTATCCACGGGGTCAACGCGGGTAGGATGCTGTTACCACCAGCATCAGAGCAGGGGTAGGAATTGTTTGGCAAGGACCAAATAATTAAATATAGTACTGCTGAATTATATAAACAAGTTCAATTAAAAAATGAATTAGGACTTCATACACAATATACTCTTAAATTTGTTATATTTGTGATGAATTATATATATAATCAAATCTAAATTTTAGTTTAAAAGTTTTATTGACAATATTTTAAATTTACCCCACGTTATGTTTTAATTAGCTGTTTGTGATTCTGCCAAATGTTTTTGTGTGTTTTGTCAATATTTGGATGTTTTCTGTCAGCGTGCACTGTACCAAAAGCAGACTGATTCACCATTTTTTTAAATTATTGTTAAACATTCCGTAGATATGGTGAACTTCGTTCATGTTGTAGATGACATCTGTGGAACTTAAGTCAGGCCCCGGAACCTGAGGGACCAACAATGAAACTGTTGTTCAGTTTAAAAGATCTAAAAAAAACTGCGGAAACTATACACATCCCCAACCCCCACAGTCGGTGCAGTCAATATAGAGATATTTTTTTTTAAATTGAACATCCAAGTATTGCTTGTCAATAAATTGCCATAAAATTTGTTCAAAGTTTAGTTTGTAGTGGCGCTAGCATTCGACTTTTTATTTATTTTTAAATATCGTTGAAGAAATAATATTGTTATGTTGCGTGTATGAAATGTTTTGTAAAAGTCAACTGTTTTATTTTTATTTGTTGTGTTGTTATTTACGCTCGGGAATTAACGAGATGCCGGAGCGGACTCGACGGCGGCCGCCACGCCCCCCGCCCCGCCCCACCCCGGCCCCGCGCCGCTCCCCCAACCCCCCGCCCCTCCACCACCGCGTCACATACTCGCCGCTGGAGCCGCGGAGCTTTATCCCTAATCAAGTTTTATGTAGATACATTGCCGCCGCCGAGTCCGTGGACAGCGCCGACACGTCTCGTATAACTTCCCGGGTGTTGCTAGAGCTTATTACGTTTGCATGTGTGCGTGTAACGCGACCAATAAACGCTGATCTACGTTTGTGTTGTTTTTTGTTTGTAGCTTGTAGCTTGCAGTTTGTAGAGAACGAACTGAGCCAGCTACTTCCCACAGCATCAACCATCTCCTTTTTTTGCCTTTTCTCTTATTTACTTTTTATTTACATTGAAAACGCTAAGTGTTTTCTATGTAAAAGGTAATACATTATTTTATTATTATTATTATTATAGTTTGTGTGTGTGTTCGTGTGTCGCACGCAGCGCGCTTTGTTTATAATCTGGCCTTTTATTTGCACGTGTTTGTAGGTTTGTTTTAGCATTGCTATAGTCCTGCTGTACTGATCTGAGAGTATATTGTGGGAAATCATTTAATTGGTGAATATTATCATAAATTAAAAAACTTTTTTACGGAACTTAAATGTAAATTTCAATGTGATCACCTTGCATTGTGAGAGAAACGGATCGCGATGTATGGTGAAACCTCAAGTACAGACACCAGCCATTAAACTCAAAACAATGATGCGCGCGCAACTTAGTGCACGTGAAAGAAATGAAACTTCTTTTGCGGTGTAATAATGTGGTATTCTCAATATTTCATTATTAAATCATATTTCTCTTGTAATAGGGAACGCTGTGAATAAGAAAAATGAGTTAGCTCGCTTTGTTGTTTCCCTTCACTGTCGAGTGGTTCGCGAGACGCTCTATCTATTTTCTCACTCTCACTTGTCCTAAATTGTATCTTTTCTCTCTAGCCGTAACGAATGAATCTGTCGCAAGTAAAATTTTACTCAACGCGCTTAAAGAAGTTTTACTTCAAAAATCACCGTAACTCTGAACTTCAAAATTTGAGGTGTAGTCTTCGAAGAGCCCGCGGCTACCTAGCCGGTAGTCCTTAACTCGAAATATCAGGAACGTCATTAGCACTGACGGTACTTCATGATTTATTACACATTTTAAGGTACACCTGAGAACTATCTAAGTAAAAGCTGTACATAATGAATCTCCAATGAATACAATAATGAAAACAATTTTAAGGGAAGTGTACACAAAGGGGATAACATAAAACAATTCACCCATACGATCTTTAAAGTATAGAAATGAAATGTCTGAATAACAATAGAGCTCATGTGCAAGGGTCGTGGCCGTATGCAACACCGTTACGTGCAGCGTGAGCACTCGTGAACAATGCGCATATAGTGCAGACTGGCACGTGTTGTGCGTGTCCAGCTTGGTGAAGCTTTGCTACCCGGGCAGGTGGAGCAGGGCGGCGATACGCTGGAGGCGCTGTCGCTGGGCGGCGGCGTGGCGCAGGTCATGCTGCAGAACGGAGACACGCAGGTGCTGCAGGTCCTCAGTCTCAAGGACGCCACCGTCCTCACCAAACATATGGTAACTATTTCTATTTATTAAATGACAAACAATCTGTAATCTCGCGTTGAGCTCCGAGCTTAAAATAAAGTAAACGAAGAGAAAAGTGACCGCAAAACGAAAAGGTATTCGATGGGGATCGTGGCCCTCCGTGCTCGACTTGAGGTGACGTGACGCCAGCCGGCGCAGGGCCTGACTCGATCCTCCCAAACTAACCGTTGGTAGTACTGGAACTATTAGGCGACTTAAACAAAATTAAATTTTATATACTAAACTACTAATTTTGTACAAAAGAGAACAATTTTAGAAACGCAATTGAGCTTTTTTTTGTTGACTACAGTAAAGCTCTTTATTCGCAGGCTATTTATGTTCCGTAAATATGCCGCGACTGTAGAAACCGTGAATATGAAATTGTAATTTACGTAAATGGGATTATAGGGGATGAAGATTCCTTTTATTGTTTGAAGGCGAAGGCGGCTTGTGTCAAAGGCGGAACCAATACACCGCGCCACCGGCGTCATCATATAACTACATACTTTAGGCAGTAGGTAGTTGTAATAAGGTCTATTTTTTATTAGCCAACGACGACATTCGACGACGCGCATACAAAGGATATTCGGTTGGATTATCCAACTTGCGGACACCTACTTCCTTTGTATCCATGTGTATGTACTGTAGGTACCGATTAGATCCCCGAACGTAAGAATGGGGTCGCATGTTTTTAATCTGCGAATAGTGAAATAGCGAATATGGCGCTTTTACTGTAGTTTAATAAAATTAAGGACGTTGCACATGATTCTCCGAGTCGCCACATGAAACGCGGCGACTCGACTCTTGTATTAATATTTGATTTTTTTGTCACGTTTTTTTTATATCCCGGTGGATTCTGCACTAAGCCTGTTTGTTGGTTTCACTGCCGTACGATGTGCAATAATAGCGCAGGCTTATTGTCGACAGCAACAGGTAAAGGCTGAGCGGGAGGCGGTGGTGGCAGACTCGTAGCTGATGCGTTTGGTGGGGACTCCGCCACCTGACTCTCGCACCTAGCGCTCCGCCCTCGCGTGCTCCGCCCCGCACTACCGCGCCCCGCACTCCACTACGCACCGACCGAACTAGTGGCTGACGGCAGAGCGCCATATTTATAAACACTGGCTGGACGAACTAATGGCGGATTGTTGACATCAGAGCTAAGAGGTTATAATAATTGTCACGTTTTGCTAAAATTAATTAATTCATAAGTCATTATTTACTTTAACAAATAGTTTACCCGAAACTGTGACCTGTACGCCGTACATTCTAACACGAACAAATTTAATAAACAAAATCCCGTCCTTCGTCTCTGACGTGGAGATGAACTGCATATAAACAAATCGTTATTACCGACAGGTTCAATTAGTTCTTTTTAAAACGCCTGTTTTCATCCGTAGTAATTGAAATAACTGGTACCGCCATACAATACGTCGCCGTTGACAATAATTGCAAATGTTTACAATTAATTGATTTAAGCCAATGAAGAAATAAGAACCGGACGATTCCGAGTGATTTGAATGTGCCTCGATTGCTCTCTAGTACGATCTCCCAAATCGGACTCAGTTTATCATATTGCTTTATTTGGTTTTATCCAAAAGTAACTAAACACAATCTATCGTAACAGTAGACATACAGATCAAATGATGATGAATAATCACTTATCGACTGGTTTGCCCAGAGCGTTTCTTATGGGATGGAGAAATTTGTGGTGGTCCTGAAGGTTTATTAGTTTCACTGGGACGAACCGGTGGATCCGAGGGCTCAACCTTTGGCTAACAGCTGCTCGAGCGCCTCTGAAGGAGTTCTAACACTTGGACGACCCCTCGCGAGCGTATCCATCGGCCCCAGGCACGCTCACGCCGTGTCCACTAACATATATGGTGTATTTTCTTACTTCTACTAGTTACTACTTCTACTTACTTAGTGTCGCATTATCCAAGTAGAGAGCAGGGGCACATTTATATACAAAAGGCAACCCGATTTACTTTATAACGTTTGCGGCCGTTTAACTGATGAATAAAAGTTAATTTATTAATCAACCAAACCCCTAAAATTTTATTTTAATCAAACATCTCGAGTTTTAAGCAAATATTGTTCAGTACACCGGTGCAGGTCGGTAACAATTGTGTGTGTATAATGGTAATATCCGCTAAAACGTATTGCTGTCCTGTGATATGAAGTGGTAGACCAAGCTTACAGAATAGATAGGGTCGGAGTACCCCAGCGGTCACAGCCCATATCTCGTTAGAGAGCGCAACGTGTACATTTGTATCGGAGAGTTTATTAATTAGTCTTGTGTCAGCCATCGATATTGTTGAGCGAGGTGGTCGCTGTACACTAAGAAAGCTGGAAACGATATCCGACTCGCGCCATGACAATCCAATAAATAAATAATAAATAGTAGCAATATTTTTCCATTAAATGGATTTCATTTCAAAATCGAACGGTCAAATAAACTCTAGGTATTTATTTTATTATTTTAATGAAATGTGCAATATACGAATAGCTAAACCCGTATTTATTTTATAAATTTTAAATGCTGTTTTATTTATTGGCTGATTTTATATGCGAATCATATTATTAGGTAGATTATATTGGATATTACGGCGATTCGCTAGTGTGTGTATTGGAAGTGCCGTACATAATATTGGTAAAATGGCGTATTTAAATATTTACTTTAAAAGTTATACTCGCAAGGCGTGACTTTAATTTATTGAGTTAATGGAATTTGTCACTTTTACGCTTTAATACTTTTTCATGCACCATACCATTGTGCGAGTTTTTTAACGTTCTCGATAGCGTAAAAGTTAACTCAAATTTGTATGCAGTTCGAACAGCGGCAAACGTAGGCAAACGTTCCAACTCCACACAAATTTGAGTTAGCTTTTACGCTATCGAAAAGGTTAAGAAACTCGTACTAAGCACACAAGTCTACGATTTTTGTATACAAAAGCGTCAGAATAAATTGAGTTGAAAGGAAACAAATGAATGTACACTCTCCTGAGATTATGCTGTCTGGTGCTATGGAATAATAATATGCTGATTAAAAGTCTAGTTACACCAGCTGTGAAGACTGTGAAATCCTAGCAAAGGTATAATATTGAGTCTAATAATAGTACTTAATTACAAAAAAAAAACGCGACCTTTAAATCTTACAGTGACAAGTAGTTTTGTCAAAATGCCACATAGAGTATAACTTTTAGAAATAAATTATACCATTATCAATTAAAAAAAACATTCCTTTTATTTAAGTGTTTGTTATAAGTTGTTGGTTTTGTAATTGATTTGTCGTCGAGTTTGTTAGTGAGTACTTTATCTAGTCTTGTCGAACGAATCTAGTCCGTAAGTCGAGAGTAGACACGATACATAGTAAAATATACAAATAGAAATATTTATTGGAAATTAGTTTTTTTCGTATTTATAGGTACTTATAGATAGATAGTAATTTAACACTTCTGTGTACCGCATAAGGTTTCGTGGATTTCAAATCATTAAATTGTTGTCTGGTACGTGGAATGTGCGTAAATTCTTTAATTATAATTGAAATACGGTCAGTCTGGGTAACTATAGTTCTTGCGGTTGACACTGACACTTCTGATTGTTAGTACGAAATACGAATTGTCAAAAGACACTTTTGAAAAGTTGACAGATAACATAGTTCAGAGCTACGAAGGATAAGATCAATAAAGTTACATAAACGTTCCAGACGCCAACTATTTTAATAATATGACACGAGCTCAAAAACGTTATTTTCACTTTGCTACAAAATATTTTTAAATACGTTTTTACGTTCCGATTTACTATACCGCGAGGCGTTGAATGCGCTTCCATTGATTTTAAATGTTTGGTGGGATTTTGTTTAATGCGTGCGTTAAATCATGTGTTGAACATCAGGAATCACGCATTAAAACATGCGTTTCGAGCTCTTGCGATTATAATTCACACTAAATATAATAAAATTGTTATCAACAGCATTAAAAGTTACCCAGACTGACTCTGTGGAGTATTTATTAGTTCATTATCCTTTTTTTATTCGGGCTCGCAACGAAGCAATAGAAAGTAAGTAGTTATGACATCTCGACATATACATGTGAATTTGTAATTAGGAACGTATTCTAAGATGCTTCTCGTAGTGAGCTCGAATTACGGAAGATTTGTTTTAAAATGGTAGGATCTCTTGTGAGTCCGCACGGGTAGGTACCACCATCCTGACAATTTCTGCCGTGAAGCAGTAATGCGTTTCGGTTTGAAGGGTGGGGCAGCCCCTGTAATTATACTGAGACCTTAGAACTTATATCTCAAGGTGGGTGGCGCATTTACGTTGTAGATGTCTATGGGCTCCAGCAATCACTTAACACCAGGTGGGCTGTGAGCTCGTTCACCCAACTAAGCAATAAAATAAAACAAAAAAGGTCTGTCAAAAGTCGATATCAGGGTTCGGCCTCGGACGCAGTTTTTTGAAACTCATCAAATTTAGAAAATCGATCCTGACATGTTTGTTTATTGTAACTTTTGTAATGGAAGAAGTGAGTGGAGGAAAGGGATATGATGGAAACTAATTTCCATTATATGTATGTACTGAGTGTGTTACATAAGTTGTATATTGTGAATATTATTTCACCTCTTGACATAAATTGATTTGTCTAAGGTTTCACATTACGCATTCATTAAATAAACATAGGATTCTGTGGCGCTCAAATTTCAGTTTCATATTCGGTAATGGGTTAAATTTAGACAATGATTCGCTTGCTTACAAGTAGTAATGGTGATTTTTTTTTTCTTGCTATTGATACAACCTCGGAATCGCATTCGTATTTAATACAGATAATGTCAGGATTCGATGCAATTATTACGGATTGAGGCCGTTATGTCAAAAGTAGTTATAGCGAAAATATCTCGTTGGTTCGTATTGGATTCTTAATATAAGAAAATAGAGATTAATAATTTTAAAAGAAAGAAATTGTAATTGTAAATATACACAAATATGTATGTTTTAAATCCTTATACGTAGGTTACGATTCACTAGGACGTTGACATTGTTGATGGGATTTAAAAAGCAATATTATGTAGAATTTGACAAAGAGCATTCCTCAATCTAAAACAAAAATGGTAGCATCAAAGCTTAATGTTTAATATAACTTATTTGAATATAGATAAGTCTTTAAAAATACTTCCTGAATTCAAAGCTAAATAAGAAAATGTCGTTATTAGGATAGGTTTCAATTTCACGTTTAACGTTAAGATAAATTTTAAATTGTAACAATCGATACTAGTCAATGGTTTAAACATTTATAGAGAAGTACAAAAACAAGCGAGGTCATGTTAATAAACTGTATATTTTTTGTTTATGATACTATTTCTGCGATAGCTTTAGTTACTTCTTTTTTGTTTTTACTGTCCCTGCTCTGTTTTTGTTTATTTAAATACTACCAAAGAATTCATGTTTGAATGCAAGAAATAATTAAAAGCACAATTTTGTTGTTAAGTAATATAGTTTGTGAGTGTATATAACGGTATGATTGTGTGAATATGGCAATTATTAAAATATTTATGTACATCATGTTTTTTATTATTTTCACTGTTCATGTTAAGCTATTATTAATTTAGATAACTTTCTTACTTGCTTGAGGTTGTGGTTGAGTCCACTTGAGTACTTATCCTGATTCGGTGGTGCCAGGTGAAAAAATGCCGCAATCATACCACAGCGCAAAAAAAGTCGTACGCCTAAGGAAAATTCTAAAAATAAATTATACATAGATATTTACACAGGTACATACAAACAACAAGATTGAAATAGATCATCATTCGTCGTACTCGTTCCAGCTACAGGAATAATTAAAATAAAGTTAAACAAATATGGTCTCTATTTATTTCGAAGGAAAGTCTTCTTTCATGTATGGAAATTAGAATAAAAGGGGCTTCCCCGAAACTCTGGGCAATATTACCAACATTCATTATTTTAATATTCTGTCAAAAGAGTTTTAAGATTTTACGGTTTTGGATACTTGTTTTCAAAGGATTTGTTACAAAATTGCTGCCAGAACTGTTTGCATAAAATAATGTTACAATGGATTGAATGTAAAAAAAATCGTACGTTTTTAGTACGATTTCGATGCTTCTGTCGTACTCGCGTACTATTTGCAAAAAGTCGTACAAATTAGACTTGCGCAAAACATCACTTCCCAATGTAATGTGATATGACATCACTTTTACAGACAGGTGATATTACTCGAAAACATTACACATCACTCTTAACATTACTCGGTGCGTTCAATAGATACTGTGACGACGAATACATTGTATCTATACACATCACTTAGGTAATGATTCGGGTGTGTCATTACAGTAGTGTATTACAATACAAAGTATGAACTTTGTATTGTAATACACTGTTATATTACTTGACAGAGATTGACTTACTTAATAATATAATAATTATATTTTTTACTTAATATAATTTATTGTGGGATGAACGGATTTCATATGGCGACTTAGACTGCAAATTGAGCTCGACAATAATGTTAATATACGAGAGCAGTAGATGCATTGTTTCGGCGCGATATCCTCAAAGTGCATCCAAGGAGGACTGTACTTTCATTTAGACGCCGTTATTTCTTTCACTTATTAAACACGCATTAAAACAAATAATAAAACTATCTTCAAACAAGTGCTTAAGTAATTCAAATCAAACACAAAAATTAATATGAAATATTACTAAACAATTACGAGCGACTAGCGATTTTACAAAAGTTGCGAATAAAAAATTAAGTAAGTACTTGCGGGGAGCTACCGGCTGGCCGCATGAAAAATATAAACACAAATACCTATATTAAAATTCAGACGTACCATAGGTATAAAAATGTACCTAGCGGCCAGG